ATTTTGTCTGTTACAGTTTCCAACACTGAATGGCAGTGCTGGCATTATGTCCAATGCATTTCACTGCTCACAAGACCCTCACATATTTTCAGACCTAGTTTTAACACTGGATCATTCCATTTGGTTACATGACCATTTCATAATATTTGGACTAGTCGTATCTGTACCCACATTGCTGTTTTCTTTAACATCTGTATCAAGGAGGTCTGCATTCCCTGTATCACTTGATCTATGTTCCATTTCACTGTCACAGAAATTTTAGCCCACATGGACAGCGTCAAAGTTATTGTCATCATCATCATCATCATCATCCACCCGCATCACTCTTCTGTTATGAAACATGTATTCTACCATAATGGATCATTTTCATCATCTAGGCATAAGTAATCTGATGATTCATTTTTTACCTCCTCCAAAAGTTGCAAATCTGGTTTTTCAAGTGCCATTGTACTGAACTGAGCTACCTCTACAGAAAAATCAAATGAAAACTTTTCTAAACAAATGCTAGAGTGATGTGGGTGGATACCTTTTGTGATGCTCAAGTAAACATACACCTGTCAGATGGAGCATCAGGTCGGTGAAAGTCCTGGTTTGACACATTTGCACACATGCACACACCTTGGCTTTCATCGCAGCAAGTGGATAAACACAAAGATTGCTTCCTGTATCCCTCAGGGAAAGGCATTGAGAGACACAACTGGTTACTATTAAGCTAAAGTAAAAATTTACAGCAGAAAAGTAAAGGATGTGTTTGCAGAACGCAGTGCTATGCTCTTAAACCAATTTCCATTTCTAACTTAATGCTGTATATCTCAACTAAAATTAACTTGACTGATTGCTTCAAATATTATAAGAACATTGCTTTTATGATATAGTAAATGAAAAGGGACTATGCACATAGATTTAATTAACTAAATACCCTTAACAAACTTACTTTACTTTTTTACCCTAATGGATATTCTGTGTCTGTATAAATTGGTTCCCATGTAATTACGTTTTGAGTTAATAATAGGATTTCTTCAGAATGACAGGTACATGTGCCAAAATTCTTTCTCATATTAAAAAATCCAAATACCACATGCACATTTTCAGCCAAACTTACAAATCTAAAATCAAAAATTTTATATCTCTGAAAAAAATTCCACATTCTGTTTCGGTTTAGAATTTTCAGTTCAGAAAACTCAAGAGCACTTTATAGATATTATCCAAATACATCTTATTGAGGAGCTCAGATGGAAAATGGGAAAAGCACAGGAGCAAATAATTTATTTAAATTTATTTATATTTTGCTTCTTTCAGAAAAGAATTTGCATTATTTCAGTCATTTATTTAGCAAAGTAAAAATATATCACGTAGCACCTTGCTAAGATAACTGGGGATAAGCAGTGAACAAGATAGAGTCCCTGACTTCATGGAGCTTGCGTTCTAGTTGGGAGGACAAATTAAATACGTACCTAGGTATAAAATCTATCAGATAGTAATAGATGTAAATGCTACAGAAATAAAAGTAAAGAAGACAGAGAAGGGGGGTGGCAGAGATTGCCACGGTATTTACAGAGGGTAATCGGGACACAACTTCTTGGTAATGTGATACTGGAACAAAACGTTGAATGAAGCTAGGGACACAAGCCATACGGATACTGGAAAAAGAGTATTACAGGAAAGGAAAAGCAAATGCAAATATCTTGATGTTTTCGGAAACCAATTCCACCATGGCTGGAGTGCAGTGCGTAAGAGAGAACTTACAAAAAAGCAAGCTTGCGGTTAGGATGGGGGACGCATGATGAAAATCTTTTCTGGAGACCACTGTAAAGACTTCGGAGTTTTGCTTGAAGCTGAGATGAGAATCTATGAGAGGGGTCTGGAGTGAAGATTCATGATGGCTACTGTGAACAGCGGTGGAACAAAGAGTCATTAAAAGGGCAATGCGGGATTTAGGGAAAAAGAGAAGGTGAGCTTTGGCCAGCCTGGTGAAAGGGGTACTTAAAGCAAGCCTGTAACTGCACACAAAACAGAAACAGAAAACAGAGCAGGCAGAGGCAGCAAGCCTGCCCACGAGAAAGGCAAAAGAGAGAGTCAGAGGTGGGCTGCCGCTGTCAGACAGGTTCCTACATTTGTCTGCCTTTAGAAGTGTGGTTCCTTGTAATTCTAAATCACTATCTCTGACAAGTCTAGGTAATTTATTCCCCAAATCTCTAAGACCAAAATTTAAACCCATTTCATAGACATATAAGTATATTCCCAAGGTCCTTGAAGAAAAGGGATTTAACAATACAAGTCTTCCATTAAAATAGGGAATCTTCCATTGCTGTTTAATGTGTATTTATTAAGCACCTACTTAGTGTGGGGCATGTACTAGGTGATTGAGAGAGACAGACCTCTAGAGGCACTCGGAAAGAAGGCAGCCATGTGCAACCCACAGGAAGAGCCCTCACCAGACACCAACCCTGCTGCAATTTAAACTTGGACTTAACAGCTTCTGGACCTGGAAGAATACAAATTTCTTTGGTTTTAGCCATCCACACTCCTAAATAGAGGTAATAAAAGTCTCAGGACTCAGCAATCAGCTATTAAGAGCACTGGTTATTATAAATGCCTCTGTTTCTTGGGAACCAACAGTTTTTGCAACTTGGAATTATAGTTATTTCAGTTTAGACTTTAAAAATGTATTCTGATATCCTCCATCAAAAAAAAAATCACTTCTACCCACATTTAAACAGAAACAGTATTGTCAATTTGAGATATAAATTATTTTACAAAGCTTATTTTTGAACATGTTCTCTCCTACCTAAATCCTTTTCAAATGCCCAAATAGCAATCAAACCGTGTGTCCTGCAGACATGAAGGCAGATATTGGGCCTTGTGGGTTACTTAATCACTAGCAAAACCAGAACAATCTGATAGCATCTCAAAGCCTTTTCAGTGAGCATACGAACCCTAAAGGGGTGTTCAAGGACCAGTAAACCGCATCCTCTTACAGATACAGTATGCAAGGTCCTTAAGGGTCCACAGAACCTTGCAAGCTCTGTTCCGTTCCCTCCCTGCCCATCCTCTCCTTCCCTCCTCTCCCTCCTTCTCCCCACACATATACTTTGCAGCTGTGATAGCTTCACTGCTCCTCAAATACAGCCAGCCAGTACTCCTCCCTTAGGACTTTTAAACTAGCTGGTATCTCTGCCAGTAAGGGTCATCTTTCAGAAAGCCACATGGCCCACTTGTTCAAATCTTGGCTCTAATGTCATCTTGTCAGTAAGACTTATCCAACTCCCCACCTATAACTGCAACCCACCTCCGTATGCTCAGTTTCTCCTCCTAGTCTCATCACTTTCTAAAATACTACACCGTGCAATTATTGATTATGCTTATTGTCCATCTTTTCCGCAGGGCAGGGATGCTTCTGTTTTGTTTCTTGCTGTACCCCCGGTGCCTGGCAACCATTATGTTCAATTAATGCTTGCTAAATGACAAACAGATCATAGAACAGGAGAACCTAACAGTTTGCTGTCACTAAACTGTCACTCATAACTGAACAAGTCATGTCCCCTGGCAGACAGGCTGGCTTTGTGGTTTTGAATCATCCCTTAGGCAAGTATTATCTTCCAGAAATGCAGATCCCAGATCACAAGGTACCAAGTTACTTGGGAGATGCACAGGTTAATATCAGCTTTCAGGCCAAGATGCTTCTGGGTGATGAACTGCTCTGTATGGAGGAGAGGAAGGTCCAGAGCGGTCCGCGTAGAAGCCCTTCTAAGAATCCCCTACACTGTTCCTAGGAGGGGAGTTAGTGAGATCAGGTCAAGTATCTCCGAACAGATTCAGCATTAACCAGAGGAGCCTGTACACTCCAGCCTGTTCCCTGCGCTGCAGAATCCTGGAAGGGAGGGGAGGGCTGCGACTCAAGCCCATCTGCCAAGGACCCCTCTGAGGCACCTCCCTCTCACTCTGCTCCAGCCACACTGGCTTGCAGGCTGTTAGCAGGAAGGATGAATCACACTCCCCTCAGGCCCTGCACTCTCTGTTCCCTCTGCCCTAATGCTTGTCCCAGGGTACGCCCAGGTTGACCTCCTGGCTTCATTCGGGCCATGCTCAAATGGCAGCTCATCACACTGTGCCCCACCTTCTTCCTGTGTCTTTTTCATCATACTTGTCTCTGTTTGGCATAGTCTATTGTTCTTTTCCTCGTTTATTCATTTCCTGCCTCCTCTCACTGGAATGTAAGTTCTATGATAGACGAGGACCTGATGTTGGCCCTATTATATAGTCTCATTGCTTGGACCAATAGCTGGTACATGATAAATGCTTATAGAAAAAGGTGAATGATTATTTCCCCCTCCCTTGGTTGTAAAACACTCTGCTTTATTTAAAGACATACTGCCTTCAAAACTAATATGTTCAGTTACATATTTGAATATGGAGATCTTTCATCTGTATTATTTTTCATCATCTAAATATAAAGTACTCAATATTAAGGTCTAATAATCTTAATATTAACATTTTAATATATAAATATTAAAATATTTATAACATACATACTCTAAGATACCACTTTCAATATGGATCGATATTTTTTAAAATGTAACTCACTAGAGATTTCACTGTAGTATAGAAGTGTCTGTAATAAGTTACTTAATTAAGATGACGTGATTAGGAGCTGACAAAGCTGAGCTGAAGCCCAGGATTTTCCCATTCCACAGTGCATGCTGTTTCTGCCATGCCACAGAGTCAAAAATGGAACCATTCCAACCATATGTTGACAGTTACATGCTAATTCTGCTTAATAGTTTACACGGTATGCTCATTATATAATTTTAAGTTCAATTTGCTGAGTTATTTATCCTACTTAAATCATTAGGCCGTGCCTTGAAAAAGTATTAGAGTAACCAATGTTTATAAAAAGTAACAAATTAATTATTTCCAGAAGGGTTTTCCTTCTAGAAGAGATCCATAGATGACAATAATAATAGATTTAAAAGTAACAAAAATCAAACAGCAGTACTCACCTGACCAACCCACGATACATAATATATTCACACCATCTGTCACGATCTGTGCTGTCAATATCCTGTTAAGGAGCAGAGGAAAATGTTCACAGCATAAAAACCAGTGCCTTTCCAAGTTGTGCGCTACAGTGATAAATATGCCTTTGTGTGTGTTGTTTTCTCTTTCTGGTCCCTACTGATCTAAAGTCTAAATGATGTGGTCATTCTACAGATGTTTCTTGAGCATCTACTATGCTCTCCTCTATCTCTGTACTGCTGGTTGAAAATACAAAGATAAAGGTGGTCTAGAGAAGGCATCGGACAGGGACATATAACAATGATTCCCAGACAGCACGTGGAGCCCTGCAGCTTTCCAAGTAGCTCATCCTCAGGGGAATGGAGCACATTTTCACATCATCCTATGCCGTGCTTTCCCACATACCAGCTTCGCCACAGTGTCACTTATTTATTCCCGAGTCTGCCTTCCTCTTCCTGAGCACTGGGCTTGGAATCATTTTTGGGGGCCTAGTACTCAGCATGAAGCCTGCGTTCAGCAGGCAGGTGCTCAGTCTGTGCTTGATAAATTGAACTGTGGAAATTCCACACTTCGGGAGAAATCATGAGTCTTTTTTACATCAAAAGCTTGAAGGCAGGATCGTTTTTCATCAGAGAAAAACAGAAACATATTTTTCCGAAATGTGTTAAGAAGACTATAAATATGGAACTTTTCTACTAAAGGAAGAAATAATCATTTTCTTCTTTTAAAATATCTATAAATAAAGATACACCTGACTCTTACTGCCTCTAAATTTTACTATTAAAGTTTAAATAAAATATTTTTAAATCACTAAAAGAACATGCCACAATGTACTATTTCTTATTTTTCCTTAATTGTTAATTAATCTTTATTTTTATTTATATCACATGGGTATTATTTTGTCTACATTATTTCTTAAAAATTAATTTTAAAACTCTATAGATGAAAAAGGCAAATAAATATAAGCACTGTTCTAGTTTGCCTTAGGAAGAGATAAAAAAAAATAATCATTTAGCTACTATACAGAGAATAATAAACTAAATATCTGTTTAGCTATTATTTTGTTAGGTTTTTAAAAGACCAAGTCAAATTTTAAGATTGCAGAATTTACTCATTTCTTAAAAAGAAAAATCTGTTCATTCAAGCATTTATGATTGAAATTCCTCTCCATACTAATAAACCCCTAATAGAAAACAGTCTTAGAATCCACTGCCAATCTTAACACAGCTGTTGAGTTTGCTAGTGGAAACCAACAGAGGATTAAATAGAAATCAAAATTCTTCCTCCCTGATACCATGCGTATCCTTTACACTATCCTTTACACACACACCCACGCGCAAACACACACACGCACACATGCACACATGCACACACACACACACTGTGAGAGCACCTTCCCTTCCTAAAGAGAACAATTTTTCCTTAGATTTGCCATACGTCATCTTGTCCAACTTTCTTTTTTTATACTTTTTTTTTCTTTTTTCTTTTTATCGGTACCGGGGATCGAACTCACGACCGCCTGCTTGCAAGGCAGGTGCTTATGCCGCTGAGCTAAACCCCTAGCCCCCAACTTTCTTTATGCTTTACAGATACTTTATGCTTTACAGATACAGGTACTAATATTTCTATCTTATTTGACATTTGACATAGAGCCAGACACATAAACCACACACATGTAAGGGCTTTTCAGACATTGTTTTACGTTTAGTTCTTTTAACAATCCTACTCTACAATGGATATCACCATCACAACCTAGAGATGGGAGACTCAAGCCCAGAAAGGCTGACCAAGTCACCTCACCGGTCAGCGACGCTCCAGCGAGGATAATAATGATGAGGGGCCACGTCAAGGGAAAGAGGCCAGTACTAAGGCCCCAAATATCTGCCTGGGGCTGCAGTGACAGCCTCAGCAGAGCCATGAGCTTACCGCGCTGGTAAATGCAGGCAAGAATAAGAAACTGCTCAGGCAAAGCATGGCGGGGAAATGTTTCAAGCCATTATGTTTTGATGTGGTTTTTTACACAGCGAGAGGTTATCTGGTACAGCCTGAGAGTCTCTGCTCTGCAGGTTTTCCTCTGTCCCTTCTGAGCGCTCCTCCGCCTCCTTCCTGAGAGAAGCTGCCTTCTCATCCATCAGCGTGGCTTTCCCAAGGCTTCCTCTGGCCTTTCATTTGCTCTTCTCCAACTCCGCCACCCACTGTCACTGTTTCAGTGACCACCTATGTGGCAGTTTCTTAACTCCTCTCTCTAATTCTGATGGCTGCCCTGATTCATGTGTGTATCTGCCTGTTGGACACCTCTATTAAAGTCCCACATTTACTTCAAAGTCAGCCCAAAGCTGAACCATCATTTCTTTATGTATTATCAATAATAATAATGACTTATTATTATAATTATTATAAATGTCACCATCATAAACTTGCTGATCAGAGCCAAAAGTCAGGGGTCTATCATGACTTTATTCCCTGCCTTGTCCACAAATGTGGAGACTAACTCATGTGCCTAGTATCTATCATTTTTTCCAAAATTATAGTATCTTTATCTGGGTATATGGCCATCAAGATGGTATACAGTACCTCCTACGCTTCTGTGCCCCCAAGCATGGCTACATGAGTGCATTTCCACCAAAGAAATGTAAGCAGTGTAAGGAGTCAGTTGCCTAGGTCTTGCCTTTAGAGATAACCTGCATATGCGCACGGTCCCATCCTCTGACCTGCTAAGTAGAACACAGTGGCTGTACTATATGACTGGACCACAATAGAGGACACCATAAGACAGGAAAATCAAATTGCATGTATCCAGGAAGCCGGGTTTCAAGCCTAAAGCACTACCCTGCGATTTATGAACTGTCTTTATAGCTGTCTATAAAGGAGGTCCTCTAGTGACCAGCTTTGCACCTTGCTGACCTGCATGAAGTAGAGTTGAGTTGCCCTCTAGTCCCTGTCTACATTGAAGATTTGTGAACTAACAAATTCAGTGTATGTTTCCTGATGATTTTCTGTGTCACAGCAGATAATCAGAATGCCTATTAAATTGTAACACTGGTTTGCTTCAAGATATGGATGATAAAGAAGCATTTTACTTGATAAATCAGAATCCTATTATAATTGCATTACCTTTACATTGCCATGTTCAGTGAGCTGTCGATAATCTCTGGAACCAGGTGCTGAAGTGATGTATCCCAGAAATATCACCTGATTCGAAGAACTGTTCAATAGTTTAGAAACAGCAATAGCTTGCAGTTTTCTGTCAAGATCATCTCTGAAAGAAATGGAACAATATACCTTTTTATTGTTCATGTAAAATAATTTCTTAAAAGCTTTATGTAACTAAATTCTCAAAGAATATCTTCAAATAGTGGAAACCCAAAGCAATACCTATTTTGGCAAATGTCTTAATAGTATGCAAATAAAAACTGCATAGATAACAGTGCTTTGATTGGCTAGCCTAACAAACATGATCTTTCTTTGCAAGCCATTTGGAATCAAGTTGATTTAAATATTCTTCATAAAACATTTGTTGAACTTTTTATCAGAAAAAATTACACAATATGAGACTTTCCATCAGCATTACAGTTAAAGAATTAATACTCCAAGAAAAATAAGAGATAAAAAGACTGATCAGGAGAATCCTAACATTCATAGAGAACACCAGGCTCATGTAACCTACACAACTCTTTTAACTGACACTTTTGAAAGCATCCTCAGCAATCCTGCATAAATACTGACTGGACATGTTGCTTTTATCATGTCGATCAACGTAGACACAAAACAAATCATTAGGCAGCTGCATCCAGCTTTTGAGGGCTTACTGTCCGTTTGGGAGAAAATATAGAGCATCCATGATTTAGTCTGGAAAACTGAAACACTCCAGGTGTTTCAAACAAAGTGAATTTAATACGAGGAATTGGACTTCTAGATGATGGGAGGCAACCAGAGTTTAGCAGCAATGAGAAACTAGTACCACAACTACAGCAAGAGGAAGTGGTATTACAGAGACCAAGTGCCAGCAAGGCCTGGTGAGAGACGGGGGGTTGCTACCAAAAAGGAGCTGGGATCATCCAGAGGGGAGCTAGCACCAAAGAGACTCCACTTTTACCAGAAACGTTAAAGAAGGCAGAGATGAGAGAGACAGAGACAGAAATAGAGACAGAGAGACAGAGACAGAGACAAAAACAAGAATACCCTGATTTCTCTCCTCTTCCTGCTCTCCAGTCTTCCATTAGTGCTTCCTATTGACTAACCCCAGAAGTCAAGATGCAAGAGACTTTAGGAAATGTTGCTCGCTGCAAAGTACAGATCAGAATAACAGTAAGCCACGGATCCAATAACAAACAGCGAGTGGACTAACACAGACATTTACTTAGAAAAATAGCTGATAAATGATTGTTAAGAAAAACATGACCAAAGAAGGTTCAGGGAGACCACCGAGGATTTGAGAAGGCTGAGGTTAAGATGCAAAGACAGCATTAAGTTAGACCAATACTCAGAGACAGCTGAGTGCCCTTAAAAGATGTCTCAAGATGTAGAAAAGTGACACAAAGGGCCATTTGTCAAACATATTTGATAGTGAATTCTTGTAATTTCCGAAGCTGGCGTTGCTGTATTTTAAAATGAGGGTAAATATCATGCAAGGTTGTTCTTCACCTTCCCCACTCAGGTCCACTGGATGCTCTTCTCTGCAGGCGGCTGACCCTGCCAGTTCACGTCCTGCACACCCTGCCTGCTGATCTGCAGTTAGGTTTGGCCAACTGGATGCAGCAGCAGATAAAAAGTGGGAGGAGAGTAAAGTCCAGTGTTTCTTCCCTGTCTCTCTAGCAGACACAGAGCCAGAGCCTCGTTCCAGGCTCGGGGTCTAGGAACACTTTTTTCTCCTGTCCCTTCAGCCCTAAGGCTGTAACACTTCCCCGCTGTGACTAGCACCTGAGGGCCTTGGTACCCCTATATGTTTCCTGGACTCTTCCAACATCGTGGCCTCCTTTCTGCAGATCTTCAGTGAGAACTTTTCCTTCTGACACATGCAAGTACAATTCCAAGCCAGGTCTAGGAAATTCAAAGCCGCTGCACTGAGTGTTTACATTCAAATATGTTCTAATGATACATTACTGGGAGAAACGTCTGTGAATGTGGCTTTACAGTTTCTCATGAGATAGATTTTATGCAGTAATAATAATGAAAAAGATATGCACCTGTATGAGGAAAGGACGAAAGAACATGTTTTGTTTTCATATCTATTAATATTTGATCAGTCAAAATGACCTTAACATGTAAGCCAAAAAAAGAATTCTTTTTTTTAGAAGACAACAAACTATAACTCACCAATATTATCCTTTACATCTAGCATGCAAGTCTCCAGACTATAGATTCTGTGATTTTTGTATTATTTGGTTTATTTTTTAGGTTCTGTGTTTTTATAAAATTCTCTTGGGCCAGAGATTTAGCTCAGTGGCATAAGTGCCTGCCTGGCAAGCATAAGGTCCTACGTTTAATCTCTAGTACCAAAAATAAAAATAACCAAATAAAAAAGTCTCTTACACAAAGCATATTATAGATTTAGAAAAAACCAATGGTGACTAACTGGTGGCTCAGCAAATTCCTGAAGCCAACATTAATTTTCTTCATGGTGTTTCCCTAAATAATTTTGAAGAAAAGCCACTATTTCCTGTTTATTGATGTACAAGAGAAATCATACAGTCAGTAAATTAAATACTTGCTGAATTAGCCAATAACATGCACAAGCATCCTGTAATGCATTCCTAGAAGAATTTTTGCATTTATTTGTCACAATCACCGGAAATGAAATCTTTAAATATTTATCCATTGTAAACAATTTTTGTATCTACTTTGTTTTACAGGAAACAAAGGCAAATACATGTACATAATGACGACTTCATGAATCATTCAAGGGTTAACCAGCCTCTGTCATTTATTGGGAAACTACAGTGCTCATAGACAAGGCCCCAACAGAGGTGGCTTGTAAGGACAAAGACTGCTTAGCCCTCTGCTTGGGACAAGATGGATCTTAAGTCATATTTGGTGAACAAACTGTTTTTAAACTACCTAATGTAGCTTACATTACAAGTTGCCTATTTTACAGCTGTGAAGATAGTGAGATTCATAATGATGCCCATTCTCGTTGACTTTTATCTACTTTTGAAGACCTGCAATGTCTCCAATGTTTTGGTTTTGTCGGTTTTATTCTTTACTGTTTTGTTCAATTTTATTATAACTGACAATATAGGCAATTCTATTAGAGATAGCGGGAGGCATTATGATAACCATTGTTGATCACCTTGTATTATGTTTTTACATTATCTATTATGTCCACCCTTTTGATTTGACCGACTCTGTTCTGTTATGTCACATTTGGTTTTACTCTCTTCCAAAAAAGTAATAAGAATCGTGGGAGCAATAAAACCCAAAATGTGTAATAGTCATTGTACAAAAGAGAGGAAAAGAAAGTGCTCTAAAGGATATAACTTCATGTATATGTAAGTGTATAAGATAGAAAATGATATCACTGAGTTTTATTGGATCATTGAACAGAACTGTTTGCAGTATCATTGTTGGAATGTCCACTTTACAAGCTTTAATTTTGTGACTTGAACAATTATTTTTAAGATGACAATATGTAATCCATTAACTAGTGATTTCCTACTGTTTATTTTTTCTGTAAATCTGTATAACTTGTACCCTTTCTCTGTTTTTTTTTCCTCCTTAAATAAAATTTAAAAAAAAAAACAAGTTGCCTATTTTGTTTTAAAAATAGTATTAAGCACATATTACACTTACATACTTTGTATGAGATAATGCATTTCATTTACTTCTCACATGAAACCTATAAAGTAGGCAACAGCATTATTCCTGAATTACACAAGAGGAAAGTATGACTCAACATAGTTAAATAAATCCATGAAGGATATATAGTGACTAAATTAGGATTCAAACCCTAGAATAGGGTTGGGACCCCCTTCTGCTAGGCATTAAACTACACTCTTCCCTCCTAGAGTAACATCTCCTTAAAATGTCATAGCCATTATAATTACACCATTGTTCCATTATTATTTTTAAATTTTGTGCATATGACAAGTAAAAGAATAGTACGATCGGAGAGCTTTAAGTAAGGGGTTAATAGAAAATTACGAAAGATCATCCTTCCCTCCTCGTTTCCAAGCATATTCTCAGGCCCGTTTCTGAGTTTCGCTTCCTTGTCAAGTCTGTTCTGAACATTTTAGGAGAGGCTGGTGGAGAAATAAAAAGAATGAGGTGGAGGAGAGAAAACAGAAAAAGCAGAGATTTTATTCAGCTGTTTCTTAGGTTGAGACCTGCAATGTCTAAACACAGAATTCCATTCTAAAGATAAAACCCAAACCAAGCGTAACGTAAGGTCAGTGAAATGGTTTTTGAATGCTTGCTTCATGAAAACTGCTGGAAGAAACAGAGCAAACCTTTACACAGCTTTCTAAAGAGACAGAGATGCCCAGCACTTGCCTTCCAAACACTCTTCTTTTCTAAGGAGTCAAGCAAGAGAGTCTGATAGGAAGTGATTCGTATTAATCGTATGTGGGTAGCTTTTGTTTCTAATGTCCTGACTTATTTCAGAAAATATTCAAATATGCTTTCATAGATCCACATATTAGTATGAATAAAACTGTTCTGAGGTAACCAAAACAATAAAGGTGCAGGAACACTGGTTTTGTTCATATGAGACAAACAGTACAACCACGTTGCTTTTCTAATGTCCTGTATGTCCCTTTAAAGTTGTGGCCTCTTGTGCCATTAATGTGGGCAGGGACTCTACGCTTATGTTACAACATACAGAGGTTCACATCTGGGTTTTAAATGATCATGGTTTGTGTGGTACACAAAAAACTGATCACTGTTATTTTTGCTTTTACAATATAAAATCATGATTGGCATTAGTCAATGAGTTAGTCCCAAGTCACTACTTGGGATTGCTAGTCACTGGGGACAAAATTCTTTCTTCATTCTTCATGTTTCCTTGCAAAAGGACAGGGTTTAAAAACCACCACTGGTCTCCCCTCCATGCTTTACTTTTAGGAAAGACTTTCTCAACTAATTTAGTTCAGAAGAATTAAGCAGATACGCTCATCTCAGCCCTTCCTCTCTGTTCTCCTTGCATACAAAATATTTTCTGTCCAGTGCTTTCCACCAAAGGAAGAGCCTGACAAGGCAGGCTCTGCTGCTACAGGGCGAGACAAGTGTCTGGAAGAGTCCTCACGAAGTACGGGGGTGCTGGATTAACAGGTCATATGCACACTTAAGCCGTTAAGAGAGTTTATGTATTAAAAGTGGCATTTTTACCTCCCCCTGCTGGATTCTTCTGCCTGCCTATCAGTCGTAAAAACATGAACTGTTATTTAGTACTCCTGATTCCAAAATGCAACTTTTTATACCAATAATCCTGTAGGAAAATGGAATTTTATTTTTCTGCAGTCTGGTTTACTATGAGGTTCCAAGCTCATGTGGGCTCTGTATTTGATCTAACTTCTTCCTGTTTGAGTAACTCTGGTGGGACAAGTCACCTAATCTCTGCCTCTCAGCCTAATGTCTTCATCAGTTTTTAAAGGGGGTTAAAATGCTACTTATCCTCTACAGCGTGAAGATGAGATACAATAGTGCACTTACTAAAGCACCCACAGAGATAATCACTGCACATTTTAGCCCCTGTGGACTAATGCTTACGTTAGGACTGCTGTATCTCAAATGCTTCTGTGTCTGATTGTTACCACCAGCCACATAAGGACAAATAATTCCAGACATAAAAAAACAAAGAGTTACTTCATAAAAAAACAAAGTAATATGTGAAAAATATTTCTTGACACATGCATAATATTAAGTATACCAAAGAAACTCACTCATGATTCCCGAAGTGTGTCACGACAAAATCCACCAGCTTGTCCGAGATGTTGACAGTCAGGGTGATGGCTGGTGCGATCTCGCCCTCTGGCGACGGAAGAAGGTGATGCTCTGATTTCACAATCGGGTATCTTGACAATACCATAATCCTGTACCCGAGTGACAAAAACAGATGCATCAACACTGGCCCCATCCTATCACGCAGCTGGGAGGAAGCAGGTGCATTAAAAAGACACAGGTCACACTGCAAACATCCACAGTGAGGAGCACTCAGAGTGGCAATGTGACCAAGACCTCAGGGCAGTCGGTCGGGTCAGTGCGTCCCGCTCTTCTGCATGTCTTGCTGTTATTACTAATCACAATGCCAAGCATGTTATAGTAAGTGTGAGGAGACATGGAGAGGGCAACATTGGTAATATGAAAAATCCATTTTACTTGCATTGTTACTCTGATAACCATTTGCATAAATAATTCTGATACAGTATTCATCAACACGTGTGGAAATTTATCTTGCTGGCAAGGACGGTTACCATGTGTAAAATTAGAAATTAAAAATTGTTCCATAAACATAAGTAAAGCAACGCTGCCTTACTCAGAGTGAAAGAGCTACATGTGACAGGAGGAGCAGGGTCCTGAGCTCAGCTGACTTCCCTAAAGCAGCCGCACACGCTCTCTCTGGAGGTAGACAAGTCCTTCTCTACTGTGCTGATTCCTGACCACCAGGTGGGCCTGTGCTCTCGGCCTTCCTGACGACCAGCTGGACATCACTTGACTGCCCAGAGTATCTCAAGCTTAGCACATGTGTGGCTCTCCTGAGCACTCCCGTCCCAGGGAACTCCATGTCCCGCCAGGTATACAGAGCTAGACTCCTAGATACTGGGCTTGATTTGTCACTGACCCTTCAGCCATCACCGACCCGTCGGCTCTCTTCCAAGAGTCACTGACTGTGCCCTCTCATTTCATGTGTGCTACTATACCGACCTCTTCACCCGCCTCCCGCTGCCGCACTTTTTCCTCCCAAAGTGATCTTTTAAAATGTAAGTAAGATCAGATCATCCTGTTTAAAGTCCCTAGGCGGCATCTCATCACTCCTAGGTGACAGAGGCTCCTTACCACCTTTCTCTTGGTCTCTTCCTCTGCAGGCACCTTAAATTCCACCCTGCTTCCCATCTTTACTGGCCATTCCTCAGCTCTTCTTGGTCCTGGTCCTGGGTCCTTCTCATCAACCCTTGTCTCTAGAGAGGCCCCCCTGACCACCTTGCCCATAGGACCACCTTCCGCAATAGCCACTGGTCACCAAGCCTCTCTCTCTTATCACAGTCTCGAACTCACTTATTAATTTTTTCTGTGTACACATTCATGCCTGTCCCTCCGTATCTATGAAGCCTGGCTGCAGAATGCTCTACAAATACCAAAATCCTGGCTGCTCAAGCCCCTTACATAAACTCACAGCATTTGCATATAAACCTGCACACAATGTCCTATACATTTGCTCCTCTCTACATTACCAATAATACCCAATCCTGTGCCCACACATCCCTTTATTTGCATGGATTTAGTGTAGTTCTTGGCCTGTGGGAAATGGCATGTGGCTTTGTTTTTTGAAATGCTCTGGAATTTTTTTCACGTATGTTTTCAATCTGCAATTGGTTGAATTTCTGTATGTGTAACCTGCAGATATGGAGGGGCATAAGCCCTGGAAAAGGGTCACAAGCTGCATGTCCAGGTCAAACAGGCCTGGCGCTGTGACCTCAGCTCTCAGCCTGGATAGTTTATAATGAAGAACTGGAAACTGAACAAAAGGGAAACCACATTAAAGATGAAGGAAAATGAGCCTCCTCACCCCTCAAGAAGGACAACTAGTGTGTACTGACAGGTCAACGACACAACAGGCTCAACTTTCCACTCCAAGCTTATGCTTACTCTGTCAGGACTATGCTCAGGGTTAATTCCCAAAGCATACTCACCCCCAGGTGTGATCCCGGGTGCTAGGGCCAAAGTCTGTATAGAAACCCAGCTTCTCCCCTAGCCACATGGTTAAGTCATTGTTCCCCATATAGGGCTTAGAAGCATCACTCTCCAAAATTGTTATAAAATCTGCACCTGTTTAAAAAAAAAGCACACAATAAGGAATTAGATAAAAAGCAACTGACACATTACAGTTTAGTTCAGAATGTCCTGCAAAACTCTCATGCACTTGAAGGTGGGCCCTTGGGGGGGTGGATTATGGGAGTGCCATACTCATCAGTGGATGAGTTCAGAGCTGAGTTAGAAGGTGGGGCCCGGTCAGAAGAGGCAGGTCACGAGGGCCATGACCTGGCAGGCTGTAGCTCCCTCCCTAGCTCCTCCCTTCTCTCTGATTTCTGGCAGCCATGATGTACGCAGTTCTCCTCCAGGTCCTCGGCCATGTTGTTTCCCCCTTGGAGCCAGTCAATCACGGACTGAGAACGGGAGTCAAAATAAACTCCTCTTCCTTTATGTTATAGGTATTGGATATTTCGTCCTACTAACAAACAAGTGAATAAGACATAGCAAAACTGTTCTCCACCCTAACCTTTTTGTCTTAACTCATAAATCCCAAAACAAAATAATTCCATATGAGTCACGAACAAGAGGCAGATCAAATTTGAGCTTTAAAAGATATTCCCGTAATTAAAATGTAATAAAAACATGGACTACTTTGAGGAAATTTTGGGAAGAATAAAGCATAATTTTTCTAAATTTTCAAAAATCTTTAATATCTCGCCCAAAATTTCAAAAAATCTTAGTATCTTTCACAAATACCCAATTTACAGCATTTTATCCCAAGGCAAATAGCTCCATGGAATTAGTATAGAAATTTTTTGTTCATTTGTTTATTTTGTTTTGTTTTTGTTTTCTGAAACCAGGTTTCCTTTTGTAGCCTAGGCTGACCTTAAATTCACAATCCTCCTGCCTCAGCCTCCTAAATACTGGAATTACAGGTATGCACCATAACACTCAGCTTAGCTTTTTGAGACTTTGACCAGATGTGCTTCAGAGGCCTGTAATCAAGAATAAATAAGGACTAAGAGTGAGAGAAATTTTTAGTGGCATTGCATTCAGAGACATTCAGAATTTCTGGGGATGACTAGGGATGTAACTCAGTGGTGGAGTGTTTACCTGTCACACAAAGCATGTTGGGTTTGATCGCTACTACCTGTCCCCTCATTCCTTACAAGTATCTCATCTCCATGCTTGATCTGGTGACAACGATTACTTTAGGAGCCAAGTGAGGTGGCACAAACTATAATCCCAGTTACTTGGGATAGGAAGATCTCAAATTTGAGGCGACCTGGGACAATTTAGTGAGACCCTGTTCCAAAATAAGAAATACAAAAGAGACCGAATGTGGTGGTGCACACCTATAATCCCAGCTTGTTTTAACTCATAAATCCCAAAACAAAGCAATGAGGATGAGGAGGAAAGATTGCAGAGTTGAACCCAGTCTGCATAACACAGGGATGCCTTGTCCAAGGGAAGGCGAAGGGAAAGAGAAGTGGGGGAGGAAGAGAGGAGAGGGGAAGGAGAAATGGAAAAAGAAAGGGAAAGGAGGGAGGGAGAGAAGAAGGAAAGACAAGAGAAACTTTAGGAGGCATTTTTTTTTTTTTTTTTTTGTCTTTTTCCTTTTTATCGGTACTGGGGATCGAACTCACGACTGCCTGCTTGCAAGGCAGGCGCTTATGCCTCTGAGCTAAATCCCCAGCCCCTAGGAGGCATTTTTAACACTAAAAATAGCTAGAAAAATTAACTGTTTACTTATCTACCTAGTCCATGTAGCTGATCTCAGAGCCAAGTCCCACGTAGTTTAAAGGGTGCTTCATATAAAAATGAGTGCCATGGAAACAAATACACATCCTGCATTTTAATACAGCAGTTTTCTAGTCCCTGACTGACAAAACCTACAGCAAAGGCATGAGGAGAATCCCCCGCAGACTCCCAGGGTGAGGCAGTGCTCGGAGTCAACCAGGTGAACCCTTCTCAGAGACGGAGGTGGCTACAGAAGCTTAGTCCTGCCCCTGCACAGCAAATCCAAGCCCCTTTCTATTTTTTTAAGAATGTATGACTTGGTAATCCCTCCCTCAACTTCACAGTCTTGCTGACTAAAACTAATAGTAGCAGTTTCTCAAAACCTGGAACCAGTTCCGTTGAGACTTACCTGTCTGATTGAGCAGCCGGGCTGATCTTTCTAGACTGGACCAGCCTTCATTGTCGTAGCCAAACCTGAAAGGCCAGATGGCGGCAGAGACCTCATTGGTTGGTGCCTGAGGGATATAACAGTTAAAGTAGCAGTCTGAAGTCCCAGTGTTCTCCCCCTCGCTACCAAAATTCGTAAGTCAGCAAAGAGAGTTCCTCAGACATCTTAACAATAAGACGGTTGCTACCTGGAATTCTCATAATAAATTTTCCAGGACCAGATTTCTACCTTAAGCTTGGAGTTCAGAGGAACGTTTGGAAAGCAAAAGTGAGTATTTATAATAAGTTTTTGGTTTTGGTGTGGGGGATCGAACTCCTAACCTTGTACTTGCCAGGTAGGCGATTATGCCACAGAGCTAAATCTCCAGCAAGAAACTCAAAATGAGCTGGCCGTCCATCAATAGGAAAAGGCATTAACTAATGTTGTTATATACTACATATAATGGGACAGTTATAGCTCCAGTAAATGAATTTCATCAATAGGAAAAGAAGTACAAAAAGCTCCATAACAGAATACTACACAGCCCTAATAAATGAACTAAAGCTACAAATTTACATGAGAATGAATCTCACAAAAATGATTTTTTAGAAGTTGCAAAATATATATCATATGTCTTTTTGTTTTTTAGAGCTGGGGATTCCACAGGGACTGTGTTCTGAGCTACAACCTTGGCACTTTTTTTCCATTTGAGACAGGGTCTCACTAAGACATTAAATTATTCAGGCTAGGCTCAAACTTGCAATGCCCTTGCCTCAGTCTCCCCAGAGTTCTGAGATTACAGATGTGCTCCTTTACCCCTGGCTAGATGTCATTGCGAGTTAAAAACATGAAAGAAAAACCCAGAAAAAAAGAAAAGAAAAGAAAGAAAGAAAAAGAAAAAAAATATTTTCTGTTTATCATGTAAACAATATAAAAATGAAACAATATAAAAATGTATGACAATGATTTTTTTAAAATACCATATTCAAAATAATAGTAACTCTTGCAAGGGAATATCATATAGAGAGGGCTATTTAGTGTTCTTTGCTGTATTTATAAAGTGATCACCCCACTGTAACCTAGTCAGGGATATAGTAATATATCTACCACATTGGCAAGACCAAGACTCAGGAGCACAACCCTACAGCCCATCAGCTGGTCAGAGGATGCGCTGCCCAGTCCTAGCCAGGCACTTCAGATGACTGCAGACCTACACTGGGGTCCTCGTGAAAGACAATGGCTGATTAAGAACACAGCCATGACCACAGCTGAAAAAACCACTCAGACTCACTGATACAGTTCATGTTGGGAGAAGGAAATCCCAAGGTCAGCACACGTGTTCTGCAGCAGAGAGCTGGGGGTCCCATCTTTACATCCATAGGGGTGTCCAGAGGGATGATTATATTATTCAAATTCCCTTTCTGCACAACTGTCTGTAATCCAGTCTAGATTTCACCACTCTGAGACATGTTATTCTTTCATGCTTCCCATCTTGGTAAATGCCATATTCCTTTTTCCGGGAGCTCCAGACAAAAACCTAGCGGCCACCCTTGATTGCTTCCTTCTCAGCCAACAGCATCCAACCCACTGACCGATCCTACCAGCTCTACTTTCTAGATCTTTCCACTCTTCTCGAATTCCACTGCTGCCAAACCAGATGACACGACTACCGTATCTCTCAGACAACTGGAAAAGCCCAGAATGCATCTCCCTGCCTCCACTCACCCGCCTCCAATCTGTTTTCCCAGAGCTGCCGAAGTGACATACATCATTCTCTTCACTGACCACCGTGGTCTCCCTGAGAGTAAAACTCAGAACTCCCCACTGTGGTCTGTGAGGTGGCCTTCTCTAGCCCTTGTCAGCACTCATCTTCTGCCATGGCACCACGCTTCAGCGATGGTCACCCTGATGCTGCTCGAACTCACCAGGCTGGTTCTCCCTCAGCCCACTGTCCAGCTCTCCAAACAACTGTCTTTTTCTCTACTTCCAGGGTTTTTTGGAGTTTTGCTTTTTTTTCCTGGTAGTACAGGGTCTCCCATAGACTGCCCAGGCAGAACTCAAACATACAATCCTTCTGTCTCAGCCTTCTTTTCTGCTTGCTGGTCAGCTTTCAAGTTTCATCTTCCATGTCACCTCAGAGCGGCATTCTCTTAAACACTCCACTGTTACTCTCCTTCAGAGAAGCCTGATTGAAAATGATTGCCTTGGGGGCTGGAGATTTAGCTCAGCGGCATAAGTGCCTGCCTTGTAAGCAGGCAGTCGTGAGTTTGATCCCTGGTATGGATAAAAAGGAAAAAGGCCAAAAAAAAAGAGAAGGAAATGATTGCCTTTCTTTACTTGTTCCTGTGAACACTCTCTTTTTTTCTAACAGAATGCAGATTCTGAAAGGCAGAGATTTCATCTGGTTTATTTACCTCTGTGATTCCCGGCATGCAGGCACATCAAGAAGCATTCAACAGAGTTTTTCATGAGAACATGGCGGACAGACAACAGCAACTACCAGAGGCTCTCTGAAAGGTTCGGCTCAGAGGCCAGAAATAATGCGGACTAGGGAGACACGAATCAGTAGAGATATGCTCTGCTGACTCAGGAACGAACTGGGCTGAGAGAATCCAACTTGGAATACAGTCCTGGCGCTAAAATAGGAACAGAAAAATCTCGGTGTGGAGGCTCGACTCCGCGCCATCGGAAACCGGTTTGGATTTCCCGCCGTGCGGCGGCCGGCTATCTCCACAGCGGCTCAGCAAGGAGAGACGCGCCGAGCTCTGGGAGCGCCGAGCTCTGGGAACGGGAGAACGGAGTCGAAAAAAAAAAGGACGGACAGAGGTGTACACGAAAACTGACTGGTGGCGAGGTGAGTGAGAATCTGACCCCCCACCACAGTTTGACTCTAGCGGAGATCTCTCTGGGCGCCATTCCCCTCTCGGACGGGATTGGAGAAAAGTGCCTGGCCTGAGTGACGCTGCTGGCGGACTCTCTAGGCTAGACTAGCCTAACCCAGATCCCAGAGCCGGACGATGGCCCGGAGGAGCGACTGACTTCCGCGTAGGCTGCCTCCTCCGACTCCCTGGTGCGCAGCGGTGGGCGGGAACAACTAGCCAGCGCAATTTGATCAGGCTGTGGCTGACAGGCAGGGAAGCCGGGCCTCCTTTGTAAGATTGCATTTTATAAGGAACAAAAAATATGGGGAAGGGAAGCAACAAAAAAAGCTCCTCGGCCCCCAATCCTGAGAAACAGGCAATAATGGACGCCGCACCAGTATACATTAAGCACCATATTGAGAGCCTCATAGACCAATTCAGGAATGAAGTTATCAATGATCTGAAGCTAGAAGTATGCAGAATAGTTAGAGAAATGCTAAACACCACCCAGGAAAAAACAGATGGTGGAATGGAAGAACAGAAAAAGAGGGGAGAATTGCTTGATGGAGAAAACAGAGAAAGCATTGAGTATGTGAAGCAGGTTCAAAGGGACTATCAAGAAATTAATAAGTCTATACAAGACTGGCATAACAGCTTGAAAGAAACTAAGGACAGACTATCTGAACTGGAGGGCAGACTTGAAATATGGGAGAATGAAATGAAAAACTTCTTAAAAATAACAAAGAAACAAACAGCAATAATACAAAGACAAGAAGATGATAAGAGGAGCCACCACTTAAGGATTAAGAACATAGAAGAAGAAGTAGGGACACAAACAAATGAATTACAAAAGCTACTCACAGAAATAATCCAGGAGAATTTTCCTAATTTAGCAAAAGGTAAAGATACTCAGCTGTATGAGGCATACAGGACCCCAGCTACCTACAACCCTAACAGAGAAACACCCAGGCATATAATAATAAAAATCCCAGAAATTCAATACAAGAACAGAATATTAAAAGCTGTAAGAGACAAGAAACAGATCACTTACAAAGGAACACCCATCAGAATTACAGCAGATTTCTCTTCACAAACCATCAAATCACGAAGAGCATGGGGGGAAATAATTCAAGCTTTGAAAGATAATAATCTCCAGCCAAGATTGAGATATCCTGCACAACTGTCCCTGGAAATTGATGGAAAAACGAGGTGCTTCCAGGATAAAGAGGAACTGGGGGAATTTGCAACCACCAATTCAACTCTACAGAAAGTATTGCAGGATATTCTAAAAAAAGAAAAATACAAAGAACCCAGAAATAGTGGCAGGGAGGCCACAACGAATGGAGCAGAGAACAAAATGAAGAAGACAAACTGACAGCTACTGACAGAAAAAGAGCTCAACAGAAATGAGACAGAGAAGATTGGATGATAGGAACAGCTATTTTTGAGAAAATGACATCTTAATAGGTAATGCTGATTCAGTACCATCTTGTTTTGAAGTCTCATCTAGCTTTTGTTCTTCTGTCTCCAATGGTCTAACCAGGTTGTATCTTATTGGATTTTGTTATGTACGTTAGTATAAGCAAAAACCTTTTAAAGACAAGGAGATTATACAGAGACCATTGTTCATTTTCTGTTAGTCAATTCCAAATACTCTATAATGCTGTCATTCTCTTAAATGGTTTTACATTGTTTTGATATACTTAATGCTACAGTATATGAAGTTGTACTCAAGGACTTCAGGGAGGGAGTCAATATGGTAACTATTTTTAAGTCGGAAATATCTGGTGGTGAAACACTATTCTGCTTAAAAGGTTATGTTTTGATCTGCCCTGTTTCGCTGTTATGCCCTCTTTTTCTTTTTCTCAATCTCCACTCCATTATATACTTTTTTATTGTTATCCATTTAATTAAAGGGAAAAATATAGCAGGATATAATATAGTAACCCACTTTGACTTTCTATTTTCTCGATTTGAAGCCCTGTATTACTCTCACCATCTTGTTTTTGACTGAGGTTCCTCTATTCTGTTTTGCTGAATAGTATCAGGTTCGAAAGTTTAGGCATCAGCTGAGAAGATAATGAGATTCATTATAACGCCCATTCTCGTTGACTTCTATCTACTTTTGAAAACCTACAATATCTCCAATGTTTTGGTTTTGTCGGTTTTATCCTTTACGGTTTTGTTCAATAGTATTACAACTAACGATATAGGCAATTCTATTAGAAATAGCGGGAGGCATTAGGGTAACCATTGTTGATCACCTTGTATTATGTTTTTATATTATCTATTATATCCACCCTTTTGACTTGACCGATTCTGTTCTGTCATGTCACATTTGGTTTTACTCTCTTCCAAAAAAGCAATAAGAACAGTGGGAGCAATGAAACCCAAAATGTGTAATAGTCACTGTACAAAAGAGAGGAAAAGAAAATGCTCTAAACTATATAACTGCATGTATATTTAAATGTATAAGACAGAAAATGATATCACAGAGTTCTAATGGATCATTGAACAGAACTGTTTGCAGTATCATTGCTGGAATGTCCACTCTACAAACTTTAATTCTGTGACTTGAACAATTATTTCTAAGATGGCAATATGTAATCTATTAACTAGTGATTTCCTACTGCGCATTTTTTTTCTTCTGTAAATCTGTATAACTTGTACCCTTCACTGTTTTTTTTTTCTTTTCTTTTCTCCTTAAATAAAAATTAAAAAAAAAAAAAAAAAAAAAAAAAAAAAGAAGCATTCAACAAACAGTTGTTAAATGAATGAATAGGTATTAAATCCAACTCAACTGCTCCTTTCAAAAAGACTCCTGGCTGCTGTCAGGCATCCACTTTGATGGACATTGTGTTGCAATAATAAGAACTAATGTGTAGGGGAAGGAGATCCTGTAGCAACAGCCTGTTGTTAAAAAAAATACCTACTTATTAAAAAGTTGTGAGAAAGGCTCTGGGTGTGCTAGTTGGTACTAATGGAAGGAAGGAAGGAAGGAAAGAAGGCCCGCACCTAGCATTCAAACAACAGAAAAGCAAAAAATATATCTCTGTGCATCAACAATACAAAATTTTATTTCAAAAATTGTAATTACTTACCCCTCTGCCCAATTTCCTTTCATAGGTTTTATGCCGGAGTCCTAATCCCAACAAGCCCACACCAACAAGCAGCCACAACACTAAACAGGAAAAAAAATGTTTACAAGAAACTAAATTTGCTTTATTTTCCATTCCCCTACCTTCCCTTCTATGAGTTTTTTACGCTTTTCTCAGTTTCCTCTCAATTTACTTTTTAAAATAAAATTGTTTTCAAAATTATTGAGTTTATTGACCGAGGAGTCTGCGGGAATGTCTCAATCTCATACTGATTTTCATGTGTGAAATGTGTTTTTAACACATATCTTTTATTCAGGTTTCAACAATATTCCCTACAAATGATCCAAGAGTCATGAGCTTAAAATAAAAGTAACTTATAAAATATACAAGAAAATCAGTCTCCGAGAGCAGGAATCACAGTGAAAAGACACTATAGAATCAAGTACCCAAAGACTTCTCAAATTGGACTTTCAGAATCACGTATAAAATAAACATGTTTAACAGGTTTAGAAAAATAAAAGAGGATATCCAGAAGGATGACTAAGGGGTGTGAAACTAAAATAACAATCAGGAGAATTTGTAAAAAAATAATAATAATAGTTGAAATTAGAAATTCAATGGACAAGAAAAACTACAGATTAGACAGAGTGGAGCAAAGAACTAATGCAAAGGCATCACTCACACACACGCACACACACACACACACACACACACACACACACACACACACACGCACACGCGCGCGCGCACACACACGCGCGCGCACACACACACACACGAACAGGGAGAAAAACTGAAAGTGGTCAAGAGATGTGAAGAAAACAGTAAGCAGATTCAACACATGATCCATTGAAGGAAGAAAGAATGAGACAGGTAGTTTTTGGGAAGATTTTGTCTTAAAATCAACAAGATTCTAAGAAATTCCAGAGCCCAGAGGCTCCCCAGATTGAGCCACCTGTCTATCTACCTGTCTATCATCTATCCGACAAAATTTTAGAACACAGCGCCGAAAAATCTCAAGAGCAGCCAGAGAGAAAAGACAGATTATTTTCAAAGGCACAATTACCCTGACAGCTGACTTCTCGTCAGCAAAGTACAAGCTTGAAGACAGGATAAAATATCTTCAATGTGCTGAGAGAAACACACCAATCACTAAAAGATAGAAACAAAAGGTATAATTTCTAAACTAGGAAGAGGAGGGGTATAAAAAAACAAAAAGAAATGAAAGAGAACAAAGCAGGAGGGACCTACACACTGCAAAATAAGTTAAAAAGGAAAAACTATACCTACACGAAGTGGGAAATTCATTTAAAAGCAAAGAAATTGATAGAAATAAGTAACAATACATTAGAAACTCCAGAAAAGTTGTTGAAATGTTTAAAAAAGCAAAGTCTGACATTCTGAACAAGACAAAACAAAGTCAAATATGACTTTTATAAGTCGTGATGAAAAATACTTGATAGTTTTTGGTATGATGGTCTTACTGCTTTGTGATGTATCTCTTGGAAATATTTTAAAAATCAATACAGTTTCTTAATTGTTTTCTATATTTTATACTGTAAGATTTTATTTCTGTAGTAAAGTATCAATGCCTTGAGGGCAGAGACCACTGTTTATATGCCTTTGTGTCCAATTTAACAATTCCCTAATCTGCACATTGTATACATTCGAGTTTTATTAAATCTAGTTCATGTCATGTCAAATGAGTCAGACATAGATAGCAATTAACTGCACATCTGAAACTCAAGTTCATCAACACACTACATGCTAACATTGAATCTTCAAAAAAACAAAGAATAAGAAATGGAATAAACAGTCTCTAGAACAAATCAGTTTGGAAATTTTACCTGTTAAATCAACTTATCTTTCTTAGAAGTAAAATAAAATGAATACAGACTCTGACGCTGAAATGACAATGTCTGCATTTGCTCTAAGTATTTATATCAGAAAAAGTAGGAAGACGGCTGTTACCAACATTGGAAAAACATCAAGACTTACTAAAGCTGAGAGGGAAGTATATGAGGCTGTATTACACTTGAATTATATATGTTTGAAAACATATAATAACATCATTTTATAAAAATTGTAAAATTGTACTTACAAAGTTTCATGTATTTATCACTCTTTCTGATAGGCCCTTTAGGATTGTTTTTCATCTGCAGAAGAAAGGCAAGTTTTTTCTTCGAACCAAATAACATATTCAGCCCAATAATTAGCATCGTGGATGCTATTAAAAGAGAAAGAATGTAATGTAGTATAATGTGAAAATCCTTTTAATGGTAAATCCCAGATGTATTTTAAATGAACATTCCCTGAAATTCAGCTACTGAGTTACTCTATCGCAGTACCTAAGCAATTACTCCTGCAGCACTTTTGATGCTAGGGACAATCTTAAGAGATAAAGTCAGATTCTAGGAATCATGGTCTAGGTGAGAGCGCCTCAGCCTTTCCCTGGCGAGGAAGGCCCTTGAATTTCCTGAGTGTTCCCCAGTTGCTAGATGGCTCATGGTTTTTGTCATTGCCCAGTGATTAAGCAGGGGACAGTGGAGTACAAGATAAGGGACCTTCTGAGCTGCCGTAGGGACCTCATCTTGTCCACTAACGAGCGTTCCGATGCACCGAGATGAGATGCACAATGAAATAAAATGCAAGCTCTTGGTAAGGCAGTGTTTGCGGCAGTAATTCTACAAGGAAGGTGGGCACTCAGGGCACAGGATCAAAGCAGAGGATGTGGGCCAGAGTTCAGTGCCATAAAGCTGGGCTAAATCGGGATGCACTACAAAGCAGCTTACATGTAAAGCTTACATACTTCTAAAGTCGTAAGAATGTAAACAGAGAAATGCAATGATACGTAAATTAGGAAATGCCAAGTTTAGCTTACGTGGAAAGCTACCCCAAAAAATGTCCAAATTTCCAAGAAACAGCAAGCGTAGAAAATAAATGTATAACTAATTTCTGATAGAATGCAAATTCTTTTCAGATCAGTTGTATTAAAAGCTACTTTGAGCACTGCCAACATTCTTGGTTGTTGTAGCCTCCCCTATATAATGTTACTCTTCCTAAAAAGTTGTATGAAGTCATAATAATACATGGCTTTGGAATGCAATATGCAGTGAGAAGAAACTCAAAAATCTCATGTTATGAAATTCTAAACAAACAAATGCATGCACATGATAGCTCTTACTTCCTCCTTTTCTTCACATGGCAGACCCCCTGAGCAAGCCGGAGTAAGAGAAAAGCAGGGCATTGGATAGGCGGGAAAGCAGAGCAGGACAGAGTCCACCCACCTGAAAGAAACCAGAGGACATAGGACGTTCACAGGGCCCAGATCACTCCAGAAGCAAAGTAGTCATGTATTTTACTAATTAGATGGGAATGTGGGAACTAACCACAAATACCACATACTCAAAGGTCATTTCTAACGTACTCCAGCCACTCAGTAACACACTTTCCAAGGCAGGCTGTGCTGACAGAGGCCTGTTCGTGGGAAAGATGCACAGAGCAGCCGGACACTCCAGGGCACAAGGGAGAATGGAGACAAACAACAGGCAGATGTCACCCGAATCCCCCCCAGCATTGCCTCACACGGTTTTCACAAGCGTGCGTTGCATCTATCTGGAGACTTTTCCCGCTCACCTAAAGCTCCAGGCAAGCAGGGACCCAAGTGGCACCATGCCAGGAAAATAGTAGGCACATGTGAACTTTTTTTAAATGAAAAAAGTAGGAAAAAAAGGATTTGACAGGTCTTACTGGCAACACTGGGTTTGTATATGGGTGGTATATAGCAGTAATTTCATTATTGCCAGAAGGTAGAAAGACCTTGTCTCAAAATGAAAAACAAAAAAAAATCTGGGGATGTAGTTCAGTGTGAAGGCCCTGGGATTGAATCCCTATACTATGAATACATAAATAACTAACTAACTTTTGGATTTTTATTTTGGTATGCAAATTCATAACCACAGAATGAAAAATGTATTTATTTTCTGATTTGGGAGCTTATCATTTATACTAAGATACATACATACTACATTTTGTTGGTTAAAAACATAGTAAATAGGGGCTGGGGTTTTAGTTCAGTGGCATAAGACCTGCCTAGCAAGTGCAAGGTTTGTGAGTTCGATCCCTGGTATCACAAAACAAACAAACAAACATATTAAATAAAGACCATTGATAAAATTCAGGATAATCCAAAAAATCACAACCTGTAGGTATATTTATGATACTACTACTGACATAGCAATGAACATCATAATTATACTTTTCCTAACAAATTAGATACACAGTTAACATTTTTTAATGAATTAAACAGTTTTTACAACCAACTGTTTTAAAAGAGTTTTGGGGTAATAAATACTACAGAAAAGCATGACAAATTAAGAAATTTGTTTCTAGCTTATAAATTAGACACCCTCCCAGGGTTTGTGTTTTTAATTGAGAGAGGCCATTTTATTAAAAAAGCAAGATCATTCTATTCTCACCAGTCATGGAAAGTGCTAAACGCCAGCTGGTCTTGGAGGGTATTTTTGAGACCTTTAGTCTAGAACTTGTAAGTGTACTCACCCAGAAGCACATCAGATCTTTCTCTAGCGTAGACTCCTCCTGGAACAAACTTAAAAGCTGTGCACCATGCACAGAAGAACATGTCTAGGACGTAAACTGCCATGGCCACAGTCATGGTCACCCCAGGCCTCGTCCCTGAGTTAACCAGGTGTCCGAGCACTTGAGGCCACATGGACCCAACGAAGGTGGCCAGCAGACATCCGGAAACAGCAGCTGCCCATGTGCGCAGGTGGAGGAGACCTGCGGCCGAAGCTGCTCCTGTTGGTGAGAAGCGGGCAAAACGTGAGTCAGACAGGAAAGCAATAGAGCTCATAGGAAAACCAAGCGATTTACACCCATTCAGAGCCAGAAAAGGCCTGAGGCGTAAGCTGTTTCAATCTCCAGACAAATGAGGAGACCAAAGCTTAGCAGGTTAGTTTGATTTTGGATCAAGGTCACACAGGCTGTCTCTGGCACATGCAGAGGTGGAAGGCAGGTGCAGTAAACCTCAGGTCAGTGCTATTTCTTTAGGAAGGACCAGGAAGATAGAATTGGTGCTAATCTCCCAACAGCAACAAAAACTGAAATTATCAGGGGCTGGGGATTTAGCTCAGTGGCATAAGCGCCTGCCTTACAAGCAGGCAGTCATGAGTTCGATCCCTGTACCGAAAAAGACAAAAAAATTTTTAAAAACTGAAATTATCTGCAATGCCAAAATCCGTTCACTAAATTTAACCAGCCAGATATTGTAAAAAACACATGTAGAGGCAGTGTGGCTTCTAGAACATTTTTGTTAAAGCACTTTCTAAAGTAATTTCTGCCCCTTCTCCTACAGTATGCACCCTCACCTTGCTGACACAGAGCCGCAAGAGGGTGTCACTGAGATAGTATAGTGGACTTGCTGTGTTGTTACCAACAGCCTGCCAGCTTTGGAGGCCATGAGTGCCGCCTGGTCTGTAGCAGGCACCTAGAAAACATCGCTCTGTTGAGCCAACAATGAGGTCACATAACCCTGTCTCCCAATTGGTATGAAATCAGCTTTCATGTCTGGGTTGCATTCAGGCCCGCCCCACCCCGGGGCTATCAAGAGAAGACATTCCACAGACAACATGGCAGTTGTGAAACACTTCAGTCACTGTTGTGGAGCTGGAATTCATTCATCAACATGTCTACAGCAGACACGTTACCACTTACAGTAAGAACTTCACACAAAGAGGAGTGGGGAGCAGAAAGTGGCCTCACTCAGCTTCTGAAAGCTGCACTGTCACATCCATCTGCAAGTTCCACTCGAACCAGCACAGAGCAAAGCTCTGGGACTATCCATTCCTCCTTCAGAACGAGCCTCACTGAGACAAACACAAGAACCAGATTCCAGGGTCCTCTACAACCCAGAGTTCAACCCCACAGTGAGACCTAGATCCTATAATAGTGATTTTTTTTTGATTCTGGAATAAAACAACTGTAATATTTATTTGCTGTAAAAACTTAAAATGCAGAAATATAAAGAAGTGATAAAGGATTACCTCGGCCTGAGACAACCACAATAAGTAGTCATCCATGCATCATCTAATAGGATTGTTCTGGGACATTGGTCATTAAATGACTCCATCATCATGCAAATACCAGCATGCACTTATGCAAATCAAGACTGTGTAGCCCACTACACACCGACTATGGTCTACACCAGTGGTGGCGAACCTATGGCACGCGTGCCTGAGTGGGCTGTTTGTTATCATTGAAAGCGCTACAAGGTTTGCCATCACTAGTCCACACTGTTGCTCTGAGGCTACAAACTTCTGTAGCATGTTATTGTACTAAATACGGTAGATGGTTTTGCCACAGAGGTATTTATGTGTCTAAACCCAGAAAAGGTATAGTACGGTAAAAATGCTGGGTGTTAAGACTTTTTCATTTTTCCATTTTAATCTTTTTTTTTTTTTTGTACCAGGGATCGAACTCATGAACTCACGCTAGCCAGGCAGGCGCTTATGCCCCTGGGCTAAATCCCTGGCTCCATTTTAATCTTATAGGACCACCACTGTATGTACTGCCAGCCGCTAGATGAAGTGTCATGTAAGATCATGTATTTCGCCTATGCTATTTTCTATATATACACAAAGTATTTTTTGCATAAATGGAACTGTAACACATATTAAAAATTGTTACTCTTGATGTGACATTAAATGAAGACAACTTGTTCATGTTATTAGATTTTTTTAAATGTCTTTACGTAGGTAATGCATCCTGGATACACACACAATAACATGCCTAATGTCAAGCTTTCAAGATGACAGGGTGATGAATAACTTCCCTTGTCTACAAATCTCTTACTGTATTTGTTACTTCCTTAAAACAGATTCCCAGCCGTGCAACTTCTGTCAAAGGTATAAACATTTTAAAGCTATTACTTGTGGCCAGTTGCTGCCTCTCAGCCTTAATTGTCTCCAGAAAATTTGGCAAAGTCTCTGTACCTTCAAAATCCTGCCAAAATCATTTCTTTCTAAAATCCTTTACTAAATTAATGATGAAAGTGATATGACATTTAATACTGTTTTCATTTAATTATTAGTGAGATTGGGTTTTCCCTGTCTACTGGCTTACCATGACTATTTTTAAGAGTCAGTCCTAATTTGATACGCTAAAGACATTAAAATGACTTTGCCATTGGCTGGGCATAGTGGCCACATCTGTAACCTCAACACTCGGGGGGCTGAGACAAAAGCATTGTTGTGAGTTCAAGGCCCACCTGAGCTATGTAGTGAGTTCAAGGCCTGCTTAGACCACATAGAAAGACCTCATCTGAGGGGCTGGAGGTTTAGCTCAGCGGCATAAGCACCTGCCTTGCAAGCAGGCAGTTCGATCCCTGGTACTGATAAAAAGGAAAAAGACAAAAAAAAAAGAAAGACCTCATCTGAAAAAACCAAACCAAACCAAGCAATGACCTTGTTGTCTTTCACTTACTATAAAGAATTATCTATAGAGAAAGAAAACATCTTTTTAACTATCCTTTGACTGTTACTGATTTTATTTTTTTATTTATTTTCTATTTTAACATGAGTTCTAGATTTTAAAACTAAGTTTGTATTTTTAAACTGGTTATAAATTCCAAGGCCAGGGCCAGAGGTTTAGCTCAGCAGCCTAAGTGCCTGCTTGGCAAACGTGAAGCCTTGAGTTCGATCTCCGGTACCAAAAAAAAAAAAAAAAAAATTTCCAAGGCCAACAAAAATGGTACAAAAGGGACCTTCAAATGCTCATTATTCACTAGGTCCCCTTAGGGGAGGCAACAAATATTACCATTTATTTCCACATCTTCCAAGAGATATTTTTTATCCACACAAAGAAAAATACCTTTCTCTCCTTTTTGTACATCATCAGTAGCATATGATATGTACTGATAGTCACCTTGACTTTTTTTTACTTAACTGGGTATCTTAGTTGTTTCTTTTATTTGTTTGAAACTGAGGCTTTTCAAGTAATCTCTTCCAAACCTTTTCATCTAAAGCATCAAGCAGAATTAATGGCGACTGAAATCCTAAAGACATGTATAATAAGAATTGACATTTTACTTTTCAATGGATCATGTTTTCATTCAATAAAATTATATGCACACTGTGTAGTACACTGGAGCCCTTTCAGTATACTTAAAACAGCTATTTCTTTTTAAATAAAAAGATTTACTCATTAGATAAAATGATTTACTCATTTAATTGCTATCAAAAATTTAAAGCTCCTGTATCTTTGCTCTTATGAAGTTCTTGGCTCACTGCCGTAATTAACTTCACATTGAGCCCTCAGTGGGAGACATAAATTAAATGTACTATGGGAAAATAAAATAATTTCTGGTGCTACACTCTATCATGAAGTCTTCAGAGATAAACAACAGTGAATAGTGGACCTGATCTCCAGATTACTGTGAGATCAACATAATGAAAGAAGATCAGAGGGAAGATGAAGTTTATGAATTACGATCCTGATTACCGCAAATTGCCCATTAGAAACCTTAAATTTGCTTGCCTTTAGAATCTTTGAAACTACTACTTAATATTGCAGAGAGACAGCAAAACCAGCTTAGGTTTAACTCTCAAAAATATGACCTTACTTTTGTGGGGAAATGAGACCATGAGTTCACAGCTTTTCTCTTCTTTAAAGTTCTATTTTGCTGTTTACTGTTCTATTTTGCTGTTTAGTTTACTGTGTTTAAAACAAAGCTGCTGGTTACCTGCCCATCAAGCACTTTATTTATCTTCTATAAGAAAAAGCACTCTAGCTAGGAATGGTGGCCCATGCCTGTAATCCCAGCATTGGGGAGATGGAGGCAGGGGGGGTCACTGGGAGTTCAAGGTCAGCCTGGGATACAAAGTGAGTTCAGGACCAGCCTGCACTACATAGTGAAACACTGTCTCATAAACATGAAAGGCAAAAATATAATTATTATTATAAAATTAAAAGAAAAAATAAAAGAAGAAAACATGCTATAAATGCTGACCAATGCTTGACAGATTTCATTTCCTTTTCCAAATTGTATACTTGATTAAAAAGCCAAATATGCTCCTTGAAAGCTCAGTTATCTGGCCCGTTACCTAAAGAATCTCATGGAACAGTTCTCAAATGAGAAAAAATGTTACTCCTAAATATATACCAACTTTCAGAGTGCAGATGGGATTTGTACCAGAAAACACAGAAATCACTAAAATCAGCCCAACATGACTGCCACAGCTTGCTCACAGGGCTCCGGGAGGAGGAGGACCTGGCCAGCCTCGTTAGTTCAGCAGCCTACTTGGTTCCACACACATTCCTATGCAAACCAGTGAACGGCACAGCATGCAGAAATTTATTTACTACATTTCTTGTCCCACATCTTCTGTTACTGATAGATATAGTCTCACAGATTTAGGCCAACACTTTGAATCACCTGCTTAATTAATATGTATAAAGACATCTCACAGAAACCAAATATTGTGTTTGCTCTTCAAAGGAGCAGGAAATCTTTGCTTCATGCCAACAATGACTACTCTCCAACCATCTCTGCCTTTTAAGGAGGAGGAGGAGACGCGGAATGGAAAGATTCAGCTGCAGGAAAATCACAAAATGCACCTATGTGCTCACAAGAGCAATGGGAGAGAGAAGGGGCAGCCTAAAATATGACAGCCTTTCCCAATCTTTCTGGGTCCTAACGGGTGTAACTGGGGAGAAATGACCTAGGAGTTTGAATAGCAAGCACGGATCCCAAAGACAGGTGAAAGAATGTGAGGCGAAATTATTATATGTAAAAGAGAAAAGGAAATGGAGCATCATTACTGAATCTCAAAAAAGGGCATTTTTGAAAAACAGAAGCAAGAAATCTTGAAGAGGGAACAGGACCTAGCAACCAGCAGCTGGTGCTACCTTACCCACTAGACTTCAGTGAAAGGTGCTACTTACACAACACATGCCTTGTGTATTTTGTAAAGAAAATAAAACAGCACAGTAAAATGAAACAAACAAAACAGTGATAGGACCATAGGAAATCCGGAACAGTTACTATATTGCACATCCTTATCCTTTGAATAGTTGCTCAGACTGTGAGCCCCAGGCTTGCATGGTCAATCAAACAACACAGTGTCAGGTTGTTTCCCTACTTCGGTTATTGTCATCTCAGCTGTGTCGTGTCTGGTTGCTTACAGCGGGGTGGGGAGTAAAGGTGGCTTCCTTGCTGGTTCCCCCTAGTCAGCAGGGCCTCTGCCAGCACATGGGAGGGGGGCTGCACGGCTTCCTCCCTGCTTCCCCCATCCAGCAGGGCCACTGCCCCTGGTTTTATTTTTGCTGGATTCCAGAATTATCTCTCTCCATAGGCTTCAAGTCTAGTTCAGACCATTGCTAAGTCCTTGGGACCCACCTCCCTCCTTTTCTTCCTCATGTTGCTATATTCCAGGGTCTGGGCACCAAAATCTGGCCAGGTTCTTTCTCTGTGGCTCACCACTCTACCATTTTCCTATGTATGTAAGTGTTTTTGAGAAGAGGTTATGATTTATAACTGGATGTCCCCCCAAAGCCTCATGTGCTCAGAGGCGGGGCTTTGGAAGGTGACTGGGTTATGTACGGGGCATTTGAGCAGGTATGCTGTTAGGAGGTGAGGTCTGGTGGACTGCTGTGGGAATGACCTAGAAGGACACCTCTGCCTCACTAGCTCCTTCCTGGACGCTGTGAAATGAGCCGCTTTCCTCCACCAGAGCCATCCACGACACCTCCTTGCTGCTCATGGAATGATCCATGAGTCCCAAGAAACCCCTTCTCCTTCAAGATATATATGTGAGATGTTTTATCTCAGAGATAAGAAAATGACTAATACAGTAGTATTACGGCAATGTGGTCTAGGGGAATGGGACATCCACAGAGGATAAGGGAGGACTGGAAGCAGGAATCTGAAGCAGGTTGTCACCAGGAACCTTGATGACATCTGGGTTAGAGTTGCCACAGCAACTTCAAACAGCCCAGTTAGCCATAGTGTATATTTTTATGGCTGCATCTTCTTCCAGTCCAGCTGCACATCCAGTGAGGTAAACTGGGTAAGCAAACTCAATAATAGCACATCTGCAGGTAAGTCCTACATACCTGTAGCCCACCAGATTAAACTAGCTCCATGAAACCATGAACATGCTGAAAGCATCAATCCACTTGTCAAACTCAGCAGAACTGCACCTCTGTGAAACAAAATAAAAATGCACTATGACATTTGATGGTATTAACATTTCACTGTTTCATGTATAAAATGAAAATAGACCTCCTACCACTAGGTACATTCAAAAGATAATATGAATATGAAAGAACCAAAGAGATCATGAGATTGCATTAGGAATTAATATGATACACTTGGAACCATGAAATATAAAAACTCTAATCTCAAATAAATGGCATCTGTAGCCTCTCATGGTGAAGGAAAATACAATAACTGAGTTTCCTCAGATTCCTAAATTATAGTCCACACTGGTTATATAACATTTTAAATGACTGCCAAAGATCAAAAGAAAAAAGTCATAAGCAATTATTTAAGGTAGTTTGTGCTTTTTCTTTACTCTACTCCAGTACTTGCTTTTACCCAGCCTCTGCCTTCCTGAGACCACTATCAGTTTCACAAATATTGACAGTTGTGCATTTTTCAAAACAGCTACAAACTATTTCATTGTTTTACTATCTTGGCAAAAACTTGGAGCAAAAGGAATGAAAAGAAGTTAACTAAACTCAGGAAAAAATCCAGCACTCAGTGAAGTCACGATGATACAATTTAAGCTGAAAAAAAAAGCATTGGTATTCACTAGGCCCTGCTTTATAATTTTTACTTGTGCTATTATTCATTTAATACTCATGAGTTCCTAAGGTAAATGCTATTATTATGTCCATTTGTCAAAGGACAATGTCAGGGAAAGAGCATTCTCTCATCATACACCGTTTTCTCCACCAAATGCCCATAATGGTGACAGCAGAGACTGGCAGAAAAACCAGTGAATGCTATTTCTTCCTTTCCTGCCACTGCAAAGGTTCCACAGTGCAGAAACTCCCCCAAGGTGCTCACACAGGAGTTTTAGGAACCTCATATGCACAACACTCGGCTCCCCCTCTCCAACATCTTATCAATTTTTCATTCAGCACAAGGGCAACTATGGCTTCTCTTTCCAGAGTTCACAGTGACTTCAGGCAACATTTCTGGAATGGATATGAAATATTATATGCAGCTAGCACACATCTGGCTGTCAAACAAAGAGATGTTGCTTCCTCCAGACATGACTGCCAGTTGCATGGTTGCTTCCAAACCCAAACTCACCCAAAGGGGTTAGGACCTGGCCCTGGGCATGGATGACCACTCACTGCCCATCTGGAAACAAGAGAGACCTCTCCGAAGACCCAGTGGGTGAGGAACACAAGGGTACCAAAGGCAGCCCCTGCCAACAGCCAGTGGGGTCTACCGGCCACGCCCTTGGCCGCCTGGCTAGCCATCTTCTTCTCAGGGTCACTGCAGTCGCCATCTAGAATTGGGGGAAAACATAAATTCATCCAGAATATTGACAGACGCTTAGTAAGAAATGGCACCTGGCTCAGGAGCTTCCTCTAGAAAAGGAGATGAGCTAAGCAGTATAGATACAAACCAGAATGTGCTGATGGCTATTTGGTGGGAAAGATGATTTCTAGCAGGCAAGATAGGGATGGTTTAAGAGAGGACAGGTGCTTTAGAATTTGACAACAAGAATGCAGAAAGTTATTGACTTCACATGAAGTTGACAGAACAATCAAAAATATGCTAACAAAGTAAGTGACAGGAAATGAGTGTTGTCCAATTTGAGTGGACATTTCCAGTACATGAGGCAGCTTCCCTCCAAAGGAACAGGGCCTCACTGAACTCTCTGTGCACCCAGGGTAATAACTGCATTTACTGAGCAGTTACTATGTGCCACACCCCTCTCCGAGCCCTTTATATTAAGGCATTTCATCTTCACAATATATTTGTGGATAGACTCTATCACTAACCCACTTTACTGATTACAAAATTTACGCAGATTGTCCAAGATCACACAGCTAGCAAAGAGAAAAAGAGGAGCTGGATGGGAGTGCAGGCACCATAGCTGCCTGACCGTGTCACATTGGTGTAATTCACAGCGCTGTTTAGCAGGAGGCTCCTTCATCACAGCAAGGACTTCACACATCAAAGTGTACCGACTGAAGAAAATGCCAACCGAAAAAAATTCCGTTTCTTCACGGAAGCAGACAGCCTGTCAGGCAGGCATTTTGGGACCTTGAGGAGTCTCTGTGGGGCAGAAGGAAGACTTAGGCTCTGCCTGCAGGGCTGGTGATGTAGCTGCAAGAGGAGGAGGTCGGTGGGGCAAGAATGGGGTCAGAGGAGGCAGCAGCAAAAAGCTATGGGGACCAGGGTGGGGAGGGAGAGGCCAGTGGAAAGAGGGAGGCCGAGCAGAGCCCGGAGAAAAGAGCTTTGTAAACTGCATCTGCTGAGTGACACGCAATGAACTATGGGAGGTAAGCCCACCTTCAGGACCCCAGGAATCTTCCAACAAAACAGCATCAACCAAAAAAGCACCTACTGTGTTCAGATACCTGGGGAAGTCTGAGTTTCAATAATGAGGCACAGGGTAAAAACAGAGGGAAAGACTGACCGTGAGCATCTGGGTCACATAATTGTAAACCAGGCAAGAAAGAAGAAAACCCAAGTCAGGAAATGCAAACAGAACCTGAAGTCCAGATCATTATCTGGCAAGTGTGCATGTTTACACAGGAGCGATCCATAAAATACAGAACATACACCTCGGGCCTAGACCAGCTCTGAATGCATATGCGCTAAAGTATATGACTCATGCTCTTATTTTTATTATTTCTGTTTCATGCCAAAATTTGGGCCTGAGGAGAACTACATAAGCACTTCCTGTTCATGCTGAGCCAGTACCCTCCGTGTTAATCTGTGTGACTCGTCCTTGTATTTACAAAAGAATGTAACTCACAGTTACAGAAAAAGCCAGAAGCCAGTTAATCAGCACCTAGGAACAATCCTGTCTTCTTTTCAGAAGTCTCAAATTAGAGTGGGAAGCAAACATTCAAGCTGGGTATATGCTGTCATGGAAGAAAGGTGATTTGAGCAGGTAAGATTTCCTTTCTTTTCAAGGTTGGGATGTGGAGCTTAAGATCCCTGGAGAAAAGCCAGGTAGGTGCCACCCCTGTGGTCCACAGTGACTTTCTAGGCTTACAGAAGTACAGAGTCAGGGCAGAAGTGGAGAATGGAGAATTCCATGCTGGAGAACTCAGTTCAGAAGAAAGACTGTAAGCTGCACACACAAGGCCTGGCTCTTGTCTCCCACTGACACGGGCACACACCAGCAATGGCTTTCTATTTTTGCCCTTGTCTGTATTAGTGAGGTGTCTTCTGCTTAGAGAATGGCCCAGTGGCTATGAGTTACCATTTCAGAAGGGGGAAACCTGAAACGAAGATACAGTGCAGGAAAACTATTTTTATAAATGTCCTTTCCCACACATGCTATGTTTTTATCAAAAAGATAAACCCTGTAAGAGAGGAGGTCCCTCAGTAAACTGGGCATGTGCTTACCAGTGCCAATGCGATCAAGTATGGCTATGGTACTTAGTGTCAGTATCACTCTGTTGGACATCTGATAACTCCAGATTGGGTTTAGTGAGGTGTACCATATTCGGAGGACAAGAAGAAGAATCTGTCCTAAAATGAAGCCCCAGATTCTGTGATACCTGCAAGTGCAAAAGCATTGTTAAAGCCTTTTTATGTGAGTTCAATGTACAATGTCTATATGAATTTCAGTTTCACTGAATGAGAATATGAAATTGTCTTGTCGGTAATTTGTGGTCATGTGCTGGACTTAGCCTTTGTGTAGCCCTCTACCTAGGCAGAATTATCTAATTCTCAGAGCATTATTGGGGCTGAGGCTATGGTTCAGTAGAACATGTACTTAGGATGTACAAGGCCCAAGTTCAATCCCTGGCACTGAGAAAACATTATTGAGATTTATGGTAAGTAGGCCCATCCTAGTCTTGCGAAAAAGAAAAAAAAGGAGAGTTTTGCAATGTTTCTTAGGCAGTAAAAACTATAATTTGGAAACTGATTATATTTGTTCATCTACAAGAGTAAAATCTCTGAAACTGCATCAAATTAAACTTCTCCTTGAAATTGCAAGTGTCAGGTATTCAGTTCCAGTAATGAGAAAACCAACCTGTACATACCTTTGCAACTCACTTCCTGACCACCACGTCACAGCTTGCACGATCAGCGAAGAGGACACACCCAGGGCCAGCACCACCAGCCGAAGCCTGGCATTGGGAGCCTGGAAGGAGGCTACGCTGCCTTCAAACAAAGTAAGGAGAGCTGAGCATTTGGAGTAAGCATTGGCAGCTGACGACCCACACCTGACAAACGCTGTGTCTGATACCACAGTTCTACTCCAGCAGACAGAGTTAATGCAGAATTACATACATTTGCTTTGAAAATTTTTATTTAGATATAATTCACATACCATAAAACATAGCATACCATGTTAAAATATACAAATCAGTGGTTGTTAATGTATTCACAAAGTTGTAGGACTATCACTACTAATTCTAGAATATTCTTATCACCCCAGAAGGAATCCTATGCCCAATAGCAGTCACTCCCCATCCCCTCCCAGCCCACTCTCAGCCTCCCAGGAATCACTAATCTACCATTTGTGGACTTTTCCAATTTGGGGAATTTCATATAAACAGTATCAGACAATATATACGATCCTTTGTGATGGGCTTCTCTTTTTTATGTGATGGGCTTCTTTCCTTTAGCATAATATTCTCAAGGCATCTATAGTGCAGAATACATTAAGTACTTCATTGTTTTTTAAGGCTAAATGATGTTCCACATGCATTAATATACTGCTTTTTGCTTATCCATTCATCAGCTAAGAGGCATTTGGTAGTTTCTTTTCTTTCTTTTTCTTCTTTTTTTTTTGTTTTTTGTTTTTCGTTTTTTGGCTCTTACAAATAATGCTGCTCTGAACACTTGTGCAAAAGCTTCTATATAAACACATATTTTTATTTGAGGGGATGGGTACATGCCAAGGAGTTGAGCTGCCGGACTATACAACATCTTAACAAATTTCTAGTTTCCCAAAGTAGCTGTACCATGTTACACTGCTGATATTTCTACCAGCAAAGCATGCAAGTTCCAGGGTACATATGCTTGCCAACACTTGTTACTATCTGTCTTTATTATCCTAGCCATTCTAATGAATCAAGCACTTATGGTCAAAAATAGTCTAAATCAATGAGTATAAACTAGCTTCATAGTTAATTTCAGAAGCAACTAACCTAAAATATCTGAGGTTCAGAGGCGGACAGCATGTAACATATGAACCTTCCCTGTACTTAAGTAAAATCTTTAATAACAAAATACTTCCTTTCCTTAAGAAGTATTTGAAAGCCAGGCATGGTGGCTCATGCCTATAATTCCAGCACTCTGGAGGCTGAGGCAGGAGGATCATTGAGAGTTTGAGACCAGCCTGGGCCTCAAAGTGAGCTCAAGGTGAGCCCGAACTGCATAGCGTTTCCCTGTCTCAAAAAGATTTTTTAAAAAAAGTACTTGAAAGGAGTTTTAAGGTAAATCAAGGTGAACTGCAGCCTCTGCTTAGCGCCAGCAATGACCAATGGTCACCTGGAAGAGTCCTTAACAGGCTGGCCTCTTCATCCTGACTCTGGGTGACTTCCCTCACCCTCTGTGGAGATGGTGATGCAGAAGAATGACAGAAAGTGTCATCATCGATCACTGAGAGCCCTCCCTGGTCCCTGTCATGGTCCGGGAAGTTTACATTTGTAATTCCATGGAAAACTTAGTGGAATTCTAGCAAGTTAGTCTCAATCTACCACGTCCAGTGCAACTTCTGTGAAAATAAAGTCACTAAGGCATATGTGTAGTTGTGGGGAGTCAAGAGGGCCCCAAGTCCAGCTGGGGTGATGGTTAACTGGACCAAAGACCTCAACCCGGGGCCAAACCCGGGTTTTATTAATTGGTGAAGAAAGGAGTGGCTCCAGGATGAGTGACTGTGAGAATGTCAGGAAGTCCATGAGTGCTGAGAGCTGGGCTGGGCAGGAGGCCTGAAATCACCTCTGCAATATTCAGAGAAGGGTAAGCAGAAATAGCAATCTGCGTAACACAGTCCGAGGTAATGTCTGATGTTTTGGGATCAGTGCTTCATCTCTGAAGTGTAATTTTTTATGCCCTGGGAAGTCACAGCCTTACCTCGAGGCTCAATCCCAGCTGACAGTGTGGAGCCTCGTTCTAGCCCGGCTCACACATGTTTGGTGGGAGCTACAGAGTGGGGCAACATAACCTGTGGCCTTGCTTCAAAGACTACACATCAGCACCTCAGCTAGATCCATTTGTATTGCTTCAAGCCAATTGAGGGGGTAAGGACAAAGCTCAACCCAAACTGTGCACATCGCAATACACAGAGATAGAGCTGAGTTTGGCTAAAATGCAGATAACTGCTCTTCCTTCCAGGAGAGTCACCCAGGTCCTCCACAATCAAACCCCATACATGCCCCAGACTTATTCAGCATTCTATACCTCTCTGAAAGCCACCGAAAGTTACTAGAGAAAACTGGGACAAATAACAGAATATTGCCCCCCTCAATAATTGTTTAGTTGTTGACTCTATAAGGGAGGCTCCCTAGGAAGCTCCTAGCGAAGGTGATGAATAAGAGCTGCCAATGAAATGGTCCCTAGAGAAGCTGACTGGGAGTAGAGTTGTGAGGTTGAGCCACGGTGTTCGTAAGATATGTAAGCTAGGGGCTGGGGATTTAGCTCAGCGGCATAAGTGTCTGCCTTGCAAGTGTGTGGTCGTGAGTTCGATCCCTGGTACCGATAAAAAAAAGAAAAAGAAAAAAATAAAAAAAAAAAAGATATGTAAGCTAACAAGCAGCTGAACTCGCTTCAGGTTGGAAAGTTTCCTGTTCATTTAACAGGCCTTTCAATGCCTGTGCATGCCTGTTGCATTGTACAGCCATGGCAGTGTACAGGATGAATGATTACTCCCACATGGGACTTGGTTGAATCACCGAGAGGCCCCAGTGGGCTGTCTCAACCAAGTGCCTGCATTAGGGAGACTCACAGGAAAAGCCAATTCCAGATGGAGATCCATAGCTGAAAATTCCAAACTTCCTGTGTGCCTGCAATAACTCGGTAGATTTTTCTGCCTAGATTTCTTCACTAATTTAAACACTTTGTTTTTAACCATTCATTTCTCAAAGAGCCTGTGTGCTTTTGCCCCCAAAGTCAACTTTTCATTTCTTGGTTGAGTACACCACATGCCCTCTGCATTAGGGATGCATTTTCCAGGAGTCCTGCCACTGTTCTTTCTGAGCCTGAGCCACTTTAAAATCAAGAGCTCTATACCTTCCTGGGGAACCATCAGACCCAGTATGCTGTCCCCATCCTTTTTTGGGACAGACAGACACGCAGATGGCAGTTTCTAGGGATTCCTGGCACCGCTTCTGAAAAAGCAAATGCCTGCTTCCAGACAGAAGAACCTGACAGCATCCTGCACCATCAAATGCTACCCGGAAATCTCAGAGAAATCTACCGAGTTATTGCAGACACACAGGTAGTTGGGAATTTTCAGCTATGGATCTCCATCTGGAATTGGCATTTTCCTTTTAAAATCTATCTTCCATAATCTTATTTTCTTACTTTATTATTACCAGTACTTACCCAAAGTTTTCCAATTTTTATTAACATCAAAAATCGGAATTCTTTGTGATACCAAGTGCATGCTTAAAATTTTTATTTTTGACAATGTAACACAGTTAAATCCAATATTCAAAAGTACAAAAAATATATAGGGCAAAGATTCCCCTCCAGACTTCTGTTAAGTACCAGCTTCTCCATCTTTGTTAAAATGCTACCAATTTTTAAAATCCTTTTAGAGATATTTAATGCATGTTCAACTAACTATTAAGTATATTTTCATCCAAAGTTTCATGTGAAGCTTAGCATTTACATGCACTATTTGACACAACCTTTTCGCTGAATATATTTTGAAGAACATTCTATTTTATTACATAAATAATACATTCTCTTTTTCATAGCTGTACAATATTCCAGCATATTCCAAATGGCTTAATAACCATATTTATTTCACCTACCCTTTAGCAATGACATTTAGATTATTTCCAATCTTCCTATTGTAAATATTGCTAAGATGATTAAAAAATTTTGTATGCCTTTCATTTTACCTACATGAGTATGTCTGAACAATACAGTCCTAGAACTGAAATTGCTAGATGAAAGACTATACAGATTTGTAATTTGGATAAATATTGCTAAATTACTCCCTGTAGAGGTTGCACCGATTTACATGTCCACCAGGAATGCACGGTGTCTATTTCCCATCCCTGCAGGACAATGTATCATTCTTTGTCCTCTGCCAACCCATTGGTGAGACATTTATAAATACACGCACGCATAATCTATATTCTGTGTTTTACGTTTTAAAGAGCTGTTATTCCTTTCCCAAAACTGAGCGTATCTATTTTTTTTTTTGCTCCTTTTCTCGTGAGTTGTTGGTTTTTTATTATCAGTCTATTGTTCATTTTTTAATTTGATCATTTGGTATGCAGCAGGCCATCTACATCATTCATCTTGTTCCTTAACTAAAAAGAAAGTTCTTAAAGAAACACTAACCTACAGTAATGATCCGCAGCAAGGTCAGCATCCATTTCTTGTTAACCAGTTTCCAGAAAGGAGTGATTGTTAGGAGTGTTGGAGAAAGAAAGGCTACACAGAAAACTTCCAGCCCAGTGAGCTCCAGCGTTTGCAGGGGAAAGTAAAAAATCATTGGTGGCAGGTCATGGTAGAGGGACCAAGAGACATACCCTATAAAGAATATTTGAGAGAGAGAAAAAAAGTGAGTGTGATGTTGGCATTGTTTCTAACAGTAGCCCTGGCACTCTGCTCCCAGGGTTGGCTTCCTGCCTATCTTAGTTACTTTTCTCTCTGCTAAAACAAAATCCTCACACTCAAAGTTAAGGAAGGAATAGGTTTATTTAACTCACAGTTTGTGGAGGTTGCAGTCCATAATCGGCTGGCTCCAAGCAGGGTGGCATGGCACAGATGACACCAGAGTAACAAAAGCAAACAGGTGGGGAGAGAAAGCTTCATTTCCTCCTTTCTGTTCTATGCAGAGGCCTGGGGCTGGTGTAGCATCCAACCATCTCCATGCCCTCCTCCTCTGGCACAGGATGAGGATGTTTACCAGTGAGGACCCTGGCTCCCTGCTGAGTTGATTAGTTAAACTTCTAAATTTCTCAAACTGACACAATGTACCAACCATTACACTGCTCCTGGCTTTCACTAGAGGCTGTAACAGAATTCTTCTCTGCCCCAGCCTCAGGTCCAGGCTTGGCTTAGGGTTTTGGCAAGTTTCTTAATCACACCACACCCCTGTTGGCAGCCTCTTTAGTAACACCACCCAGCCATCTGAGTTGAATCTGGTTTCTGGTCAGAATGCTGTGTGTGAAATTCGCTTTTCTAAGCTCACCCATACGTATAGAATGAGAACCATAGTGAAAATCAAAAGGAGCAACAAACTGCAAGACTCCCTCCTCCAACCCTAAACTACATCCACTAGCTCTTCAATTAAGCACCGATCATTTTCTTGGTAATACAGCAGTTTGACTCAGCCCTTAGGACAAGGCAGTGGCACATCCAGGTCTGAAAAGTCTCCAACACCTCTGCCAACAACTGACAGTATCATCTTGTGCAATAATGATAATTAATGCTAATGAGCACTGAATATATGCTGTGCTGAGTATTAATAATACAGACCTTCTCTTATTCATCTAGAACCTCACTTCCTACCAAATAGATACTCTTTCTACTCCTTACAAGTGCGAAACAAATCACACACACACACACACACACACCTCAGAAAGTTGCCTGAAGTACACAGGTCACCAAGCACAGGGTAAACCTAAGACCAAGCAGTCCCCCCTCTAAAAGCTGCCATCTAATAACTACTATATGTGGTACCTTTGTCTCCAACTACTTCTCAATCTCCCTTTCTCAATCAGCAAAACAGAACTTTTAACCACCTCTCACCTGGCATGGGAGGAACTTAATGTTAGCCCCTACACAACTGTTGCCTTAGAAGATACAGAGTAAGCCAGAAAAACGGAGTCCAGCTCCTGGAAAACCGAGTTCTCAGGGGATGTCCTTCCAGGCCAGAGGATACTCGTTTTACAAGGGACCCCAGAATTGTAGCCATTTCCCAGGGGTGTGTGTGGGCGAGCTCTTCTCCAATCACACAGACCGGACAGAATCACCCCCAGTCAGCCCCCAGCGCTAACTGCAAAGCTTTCGTAGGATGCTGGTGGGCAAATCTTGTAGCCAGTAAGGCCACCCGTGCCAACCCAAGAACCAAGACCCTGCTGCCCAAGCCCCTGGGGAAAACAGTGCCCATTTCCTTCTCAAAGTTAGACCTCAACAGCTCAGCACCGAACTGGACAAAGTTAAATGCAAAGGTCACGGGTGTTACGCTGTCCAGCCCAGAGAAGTCGCGCCCTGGGAGCTCCGGACGCATCGTCCCCCACCCGTGCCCCGCAGGATCCGCGGTGTGGGGCCCTCCGTCTAGGTCTGGCTCTCGCTCCCTCCGGGGCGCAGGTCCCGGGGGCCGGCGGCATCTCCACTCCGCGCGCCCAGCGCGCTCTGCGCGCCTGCACCCCGCTCAGCCAAGCCCAGGAGCGGGCGGCCCCGGGGGGCTGCGGGCTCGGCTCACCCAGCAGCGTCTCCAGCAGGAGTTCCTTCCCCGGGGAGGGCATCGTGCAGCCCCAGCCCGCGCCGCGTCTGCCCGGCCGGCGTCCGCGTCCCAGATGCCCTGGCCAGCGCGCTCCGCTGGGTCCTGCCCGGGAGCGCACCGCGGCGGGCGGGGTGGGGTGCGGTGGGGTGCGGTGGGGTGGAGCAGGGCGCGCACCGGCCCAGCCTCCCGGGCCCGACGCCGCCTGTGCACGCTGCCGGACCGTGCTGTCCCGCTGATACCGGGGTCCCGGGCCCGGGTGCAGCAGCCCCGAGGACGGAGGAGGAAGCAAGGGCCTCTTCGGATCGGGTGCCCTCAGAGTTTTGGGGACGCTGCAACTTTTGCTCAGGGAAGAGGCAACTGGTGGGAGAGGGAGCTCCAGCTTCCCCAAGCCAGGAAGCGTACTGGACAGGTGGGAGAAATTCTAATGAACCGCACGAGAGAACAGGGCCGGTTATCTCTCGCCCAATATTGTTGCAGCCTAAGGTGTCTCGAACATGTTTATCACCTCCTCGAAGCACTTTACTTCATCCCCCCCCCCCCGGCCTTTTTTTTTTTTTTTTTTTTTTTTTTTCCTTTTTCTTTTTTCGAGAAAGGATCTCATTGTGTAGTCCAGGCTGGCCTCACACTCGGGATCCTCCTCCTGCCCCAGACTTCTGAGTGCTGGGATTGCATGAGTGTGCCACCACACCCAGCGTCGCTGAGAATTTTAAACAGGGCATATTGTCACTTCTGGAAAGTTTGTTGCAAAATTAAATGAACGTGATGAGGTACCTTTAAAATGTATGAAATTACTTTAAAACAATTACTTATGATTTCATCAGCAGTTCTGATCGTCGTTTGTAATCACTAGTATTCTAAGCCACAGGACTGCTGGGTAAATCAACAGGATAGAACAGAGAGTCCAGAAATCAACTCTTTGGTCTCTGATCAAATATTTTCATAAGCTTGCCCACCCAGTTACACAAGGAAAAAGATGCTTTTCAACAAAGGGTTCTAGACAGCTATGTATATGCAAAATAAGGAAATTGGATTCCTATCTCACAAGTTAATGTACACAAACATTAAGTTTGCCGGCCTCAGAGCTGGCATCAAAATCCTTCTCAGAACCAGTGACTAGATAAGTAAGTTTTCATCTATGAAGTGAAATATTACTCAGTCATAAAAGAAGTGAGGTCCTGGCACATGCCACACTGAGGGTGAATCTTACAATATTATGCTAAGGGAAAGAAGCCGGTTTGTGACACATCCGGAACAGGAAAATCTAGAGACAGAAAGCCCATTGGTGGTTACCAGGGGCTGGGGTAGGGAAGGATGGCGCTAATTGGGTAACATTTTCTTTTGGAGGGTGATGAAAATATGCTAGAATTATACTGCACACTTTAACAGGGTCAGTTTAATGGTATGCTAATTATATCTCAAAAGAGAAAAGTCAAATGTCTGCTAAGGGTCTGGTATCCAGGATGTGTTTAAAAACAATTCAATAATTTTTTTAAAAACCAATTTAAATATGATCAAAGACTCCCAAGAGACCTTTCTACAATAAGCTCAGGATGTTCAGTAAGCACAGGAAAATATGTTAAACATCATTTCTTTGCGAACGCATACATCAAAACTACAAGCTACCACATTGCACTCACTAGGAGGGCTACACTCAGAAAGTCAGATAGAAACACATGTTGACAGGGGTGTGGAGCCTTGGAGCTCTGCTTGTACCCGGCTGGTAGAATTAGGCACTTTGAACACTATCTGCCAGTTATGCAAACAATTAAATACAGGTTTAGCAAGTGACTCAACAATTCCAGTTCAAGACAAGGAGAAATGGAACACCCAAAACTTGTACCCAGCCAGGAGTGATAGTGCATGCCTGGAACCGGAGCACTCTGGGAGACTGAAGAAGGATCACAAGTTTGAGCCCAACCTGGACAATTTAACATCTCAGCTAGACCCTGTCTCAAAATATGAAAAAAAATATTTTTATAAAGGCTGGGAATGTAGCTCAGTGCAAAGGCTCTGAGTTCAATAACCAGTACCACAAAAAATTGTGCACGAATGTAAAATTGAAAATAATTCCAATGTTCAGTGGTAGCTCTCTAGCTATATAAAATTATTTAGCAATTTGAAGGAAGAATTGCTATATGCTGCGATGTGGCTGAATTTGAAAACATCAGGCTAAGTGAAGAGACAGTCACTAAATTAAAAAACATCACATGTGCGATTCCAATTCAGAACAGACAAAGTGATAGCAATCAAGAGTAGATCGGTATTTGCTTAGGGCTGTTGAGGTAAGTAGAGAGCAAAGATCAGTACGTACAGTTTGTTTCCGAAGAAAATGTTCTAAAATTATCTTTAAACAATGGGTGCACAACTCTTGAAATACTGAAAATACTGCATTGTTCATGTTAAGTGAGTGGGTCTTCTGAGATGTGAATTATATATCAAGAAGTCTGTTTTTTGAAATGCTAGTTATTTTATAAGATGTTTTAAAGCGGTTACTAAGCACTCTTCAATGTGTGAAAGATCTCAGAGACTAAAAATATTGTACGCATTTTCTTTCCTGTTGTCTATGTATGTTTTGTTTTCCAGCACTTATAGAAACATCTAATTCAGTGCTGTGTGTGTCTGGCAGATGCTTTGTAAAGCTTTTTCCTTTTCAAAGCTGAGTCCTAGAAAACACTTCACTTGTGCTAAGGATGAAGTGTGTTCACTTCACTTGGAGCTTAAATTTTTGTCCTAGCATTTTTTCCCTCTCTGACAGTTTATACAGCTAACTTTAAAAAAAAAAAAAGCTCTGGAAAATGTGGTCTGTGAGCCCAGAAAGCAAAAGAAGCCAAATTTTGTGAAAACTGTCTCTGCTACAAACAAAACAAAACAAAACAGGGCCAGGGATTTACTTCAGTGGTGTAAGTGCCTGCCTGGCAAGTGTGAGGTCATGAGTTCAATCCCTGGTACCAAAAAAAAAATCAGAAATAAAATATAAAAATCTGCTTTGCATAGAATGTTGTTTTGAGGTGTAAATAAAGTAGCAGTTCATACAGTCCAACACCAATTGGGTTCACGGTTTTCAGGAAATGGGAATCTGTGTTATTATTTGCATGTCTCTCATAATGTTTGACCTAAGCACATAGTAGGTCTTCAGGACATGTTTGGCCAGTGTATCTCCATCCTGCAATCATTTTAATTGTCTTCGCTAGGCTTTCTTTTGGGGTTTTTTTTGGTTTGTTTGTTTTTGGTTTTGGTTTGTTGGGTTTTTGGGGGGTTTTTTTGTGTTGTTTTTTTTTTTTTTTTTTTTTTTTTTTGGCACCAGGGATGGAACTCATGACCATGCACTTGCAAGGCAGGCGCTTATGCTGCTGAGCTAAATCCCCAGGCCCTTTCACTTATAACTCATGCTGGCTTTTTTTTTTCCCCCAGTGCAGGGACAGGAACAGCATTCACTGTGCCTGGGAGAATTTCATCAGAACCTCCACCCCATCTTCTACAGAGAGATAATGTTTCTGTTGTATTTGCAATCATTTTTCCGATTGTTAGTTTATCCTCCCATC